GAGCGAAGTACCGATCGAGATACATACCTATGTCCACCATCTGGACCAAACGAAGAGAAAGACAGGGGAATGGAAAGTAACGTGTCTGAGCTCAGATAGCTGATAGTATAGGGGTTCCACAGCACAATGGCTCTCGCCTTCTCCTGAAGTAGCGTCTGTTTGAACACAAAGGAGAAATAGGTGACGTGAGCAGGCAAGAATACTGTAATTAATAATAGGTCATCACGAGTACGATGCAGCAACCCCTGACCAGGCCTGAAGAGCGGTAATTCTGAATTTGGTGGTCAGAGAGGGCAATCGTGGTTCTGGATGCAGCAGTGAATATGAAGGTGGTGCACGGGGAAGATGGGGATGTATTCGAGGATATTTTGCAGGAACGTTAGAGCATACCATGATATCTCACGTGGGCCGTCGCAACGACCAACAAGGAAAACCACTTATGTATGACTGGTGATATAGATATGCGGAACGAATCGACACAGGATGATCATGATTCGCAGGATAAGGACTATGATTAATGATTCCAGGTATCGATGGAGACGAGAGGTGTTTCGATGACCGGGAGTTATCTTTTATGGAGCAAGGCTTGGATACGAAGCCCGGGTGTTCGATTATAGCTGGACATGTGGTGGACAAAGTCCAGCTCGGATACAGGGATGATCAGATAGGCTAGATACGGCTTTGATTAGCAATTTGGATGTTTTTTCAAATGTCAAAGATGATACTGATATCGAGGCATGCGTTGGTTGACCACCGGATTACACGCACTTTATGGTACAAATTCCGAAATAAGCGTTCGATATCACAAATTTGAAGGGAGGGCAGGCAGACGTACTTTTCGAGAGGATTTGTCAAATGTACCGGGAATTCGATCCCCGATTTTGCTACCGTTTTTGCGGCTGACTTCTATTTGATTTATTTGAAATTAATCTAGATCGAGTGGATTCTCAGCGACGCGATACAACACAGTTTGGCTTTGAACTTACATGGTTGGTTTAAGGCGTGCCTCAGAAGCCATTGGAGTCTCTGAATGGACTCGTCTCTGATGGCCCTTCTCCAAGTTGTCTACTACCTTCGGTGGCGTTCGTGAGTCGAGGCATTCCTGTTAAATGACCGAGGGTAATGGATAAGAGCAGAACCGGTCAGATGCGTGCCAACCCTATATCACATCTAGGCGGCAGAGAAGTGGTGAAGAATCGTACGTGAAGCTTTGGAGAATGGAAGTGGGCACGATATCGCTGATTGACATCTGTTCAAGCATGAATGAACGACATCGAGCATGACGGTTTAAAGTGGGACTTACGGAGTGAGTATGTCCCTCTGTCCCAACGAATGCGCGTGGCAAGGAGGTGAAAAGTATTGAGTGGGGAGCAGAGAAGAGAGCCGGGGCTTCAAGTCGGAAGGCGTCAAGCGCAGCTAGAAAAGTATCAGTAAGGCGCCGACCACGATGTTTTGCCATACGTACTTTGATCAGATCGTAATGGCTCTATCATGTGTCTGAGCAAAGCAAAAGAAGAAGCGACAGGGAGTGGTGAAATCCTGGATGGCCGATAACGCGTCAGATCAGCGAGAACGCCTGTCCACCATCATCGGCACCATCCATCTGGGCTGCAGAGGAGTCCCGAATCGTGCGCGAAGGGTGGAAGCAATGACGATGTCCTAAAGACTACTAATCAACTAATTGAGCGTCGTCGACAGTCCGAGTCATATCGTTGATAACATCGTCTGTTCAAGCATGATTCAACGATATGGAATATGATGAATTTTAAAAGCTTATAGCTCGAGTATTGAACTCTATCACTGATGTGCGTGAAGGAGATGTAATGTGCTGAACGGGAGTAGAACACACCTGACAAAGTATCAGTCGAGCACCAGCCGTCTGGGCACAGAACCTGAGGAGAAGCGACAGTGAAAGCACAGATGGCCGGTAGCACATCTGTCCTGCTCTCATGCTGTCCTCTTGTGCAAGGGCCGGGCATGTGGAACGCGATACGAAGGTTTCGTAGACCAGGAAAGTGAAAGCATCGTGTCCGAACTCAGATAGCTGATGGTCCGAGAATTACATCTTCTCTGAGCATCGTCTATCTGAACACAAAGAACGAATAAAGGGAAGCGACGGTGATTACATCGTGTTTGTATCATAGAGAAAGTAGCACGTCTGTCAGCATGAGGCATCGAACGAGATTACGATATGACAACTATTGACACCATCGTCATTGACCACTGGTACCGAGTAACATGTAGAAGCTCGGAGAGCTGGGAACATAACGGTCGCGCCCATTCGTCTGGACCAGTCGGTGGACTCGGACGAATGGAGTACAAGGGGGAAGTTCTGTTGTCGAAAACAAGGATTCGCGGAAGCCCAGATGGTTGATAAAGCAATGGTTCTGCTTCGTGGAGATCTCCACTCCTTTATCATCCATCTGGGCTATCTGTATGGGTGAACTACGAAGGGAAAATAAGTGGCTTGCAGGGAGTCAGAGTATATCCTAGACGAAAGTTCGTAGAAATGCTTACCTCGAGCGTTGAAATACGTGGTTAATTGATAGATAGGCCGATCGTTCTTGGGTGGGGTCGGGATAAGGTCTAGATCTGGAAGCAGATCAATAATTAAGCGAGTCTGGTGATAAGGGAAGGAGAGGAATGTTCAGGACTGGGGAACTGAACGATAAGCACAGCGGCACTACAAATACATATTTGCGCTTATCCTTGCGCGCAGGGAGCTTTAAGTAATAATCAATACGTCGACTTCCCCAGAAAATGCAAAGAATGGACGCACATACGTGGCTCCGAGTCCGATGGCGATGGGAGGGCCCCATGTATGTGGTAAAGTGAAAGGAGGATTGAAGGCCGAGAGTATGTGAGTACATACGATATGTGAAAGTGTGACGGGTGCTACATACGCTTGAGGACGGCGGACGCATGAGCGCTGCTGCATCGACGTTCAGCCTAGCACTTAAGAGTAGTGGAACAGGGTAAGCAACTTACAGCTGGCCAAAACTAGATGCTCTAAACAAGTCGTCTCTAACACCATCGCTATTTTTTGGGAGGTATTTAGAACGCGCAAATCAGTGTGGGTGCATATGGGCGGACATTGATCGCTATCAGATCGGAAATATCGCAAAGTCTTACGAGAAGACGCCTAGGAATGTCGAATAGAAAGAACTATGGCTAAAGGCACGTATGTGAGTGGTGTTTAATACTTACACATATGTGGATTTGAATGTGATGCCGGGTCCGTGCGAAGACGAGCTGAGAGGATTAGCTGGATGAGTGGTATCATAAGGTTGACGACGAGGGAACATTAGAGATCATTCTAGATGGGGAGGGCAATCGTGTTCTAAAATGAGTACAAGGTGCAGGGCGGGGATGAATTGAAAGATGTGAACGTACATTGCGTGATGTATCCGTGGAAGGGCCAGTTAACTGTTAGACGCGACGAAAGAGGTTTTGGTGCGAGTGAAAAGAGTCGGAGTATCTTCGTGGCGTATAGTACTTGCAATAGACCAAATGGACAGTAGAATATTGTCCTTGAGCCCAAGGAAGACTTTGTCTGGAGTATCTGTCAGAGTAACACTCTAGTCTCCTGTATATCTTAAATGGAAGATTGTCGTTCCTTCTAGTTTAGATGGCATAGTACCTGTCTGTCGAGCTTCACGCGCATGTCTAGTTCAGATTCTCATCCTCCTTGATCGAGGCGAGTGAAGCAACAAGCGAATGGTACAGGTGCAGAGTACAGTACTTTGACAGTACGGCATATGCAAGTAAAAGTTTCAAATTCCGACGCTGTTACAGGCTTGACACTAAGTAGGTCATGTAAACCTGCCGTTGCAAATGAGTTCTAATCTATTATCTATACTGTCGACTTCAGTGCCCTGAACCGGGCGCGTGCCTAAGCACCCACACCTGCCACCAAGTGAAGAGCATCATATCCACAAACAGCAATGATTGCTAGCGCTTGACGTCCAACGTTGGGTGCACGATTCCTTGACGCGTGTGCTGTCGTGTTTTCGTGCGTATTTTGTTCGCCCCCGCTTTCTGCCCGGTGTGGAGCCGAGATTATCGAGGATACCGTCACAGTGATGGCGGATGCTTTTCATACTCGAGCAATTTAGAATGTTCGATACGATAAGGTCCGTCTGATCTCAATCCAGCGTTGCCATCTAGTCCAAATGACTACTAGCATGCATACAGGCCTCCATATACTGCTGCGAATTACGTTTCCAACACTCATAAGAGGCTCCAATTGGATCACTCCTTCACTGCATGTGACCAACATGTGGCTCGAACAAGTTCAAGTCCGCCAGTATTCTAGCAGCACCGGATGTCGATATTAAATATCGGTGCAATATTGCTCGGTTCAGCATGTCTGGAAAGTGGCAATAAGCTGTGTTGTCTACTAGAAGCGCTCGTTCAAAATTGACATTTTTCTTCGCTGGAATGCTACAGTGACAGGGTTCGTTGGAATTTTACATCTAGCCTAGGTCTACAACATGTTCATACACGTGTATTCATCATGTTTTTTCTTTTCTTTGCCTTCGGTAAGCGCTCTAAGTCTTTGCTATGCCTAGACTATTAATCTCGAGCCGAAGAATAGAAGTAGAGGGTCCGAGTCATCATATCTGCACGACCCAAGTATTTCAATCTGGCAAATTTCTTTCATTGTATCTCATCTGAATCACCACTAGTACGCATGCAGGTCTCCTTGTGTTGTTATCCATGAGTTTTAGAAACGTAATATGGACACTGATGGGCCTCGAATGTCACTCCTTGACTGGCTGCAACAACTCTTTCTGGACTTGCCATAGCACGCGGGTGGCGTGCCATGATTCGGTACGGCACTTATTCAATCATGGTCAATTTTCTCTGAGAGGCAGTGTTTGACTTCTATCTCTATATCTAGGGTCCTGAATAAGCGCTTGCTCCCACTTTGCATAGAGTGCGTGTTCTTCTGTGCTCGGTGGAAATGCCTATAGGATCCTATTCGGACGTGCTAGATCCGCGTACGATTTACATGCAGTAAATCATCTATGCGGAGTTCCATTCGTCCCTTATAACTGCTGTTCATCTCATCGACATTAACTTCCAAACCCACCTGCGGATAGTTCCTGATGGCTAAACAGAAACCTCTGTTGGTTTTGACAATCCTCATCTCCACTTGCTTATTCGCTCTTTGCTGGGGGTTCATGATTATAGTTTGGCGTCTCAAATATGTGATTCTCCCCGATCATGTCGTCGACCTCATTACAAGACATCCTACTGAACTCACCCTCATATCCACTGTGATATCCACGATTTTGTCAGTAACCAGCACAGCGTAAGTTCAGATAGCTAGGTAACCGCAGTGCTTTGCTGACATCTGCATCTGCATCCAGTCTTTTATCATTCGCTGTCAGAAAGGCAATCAACCATTATATTACTCATCCAATATCACTGGTCGAACTTCATACTGCAATAGCTCTCACTAAACCACAACCCCTTCTTCGATGGAATCATTACAAACTCTCACTTTTCACGTTGGTTTTTGTCTGTTTGGTTACATTACTCAATTCAAGGTTTGAAATTATGCTCATGAGCGCTATGACTGACACATACCCTGTCGCAGCTGGACGACATTAATATTGCCGACACTGCTATTGTGGCCTGTACCGATCAATGGCATAGATCTGGACCTCGCAAGCAGTGCCTTTGACACGAAACTAGGTTCTGATGCTAATAAGTCAGGATGTAAGGATTGCATCCTTACTCATCGTGTAGTGCACGTTGATAACCCCATTATAGATTACCAGAATGGTTTGAATACCCTCGATATTGTTGCGTCAACGAGTGGAATTTCAGCCACACGCTTGGCTGTTGCAGGCGGAAATGATAGTGTCTTCGCCTTCAATGGTGTCTCGTACAACACATCCAGCAGTGCGCTCTGATGTAACACCATACCCGGGGTGGTATCTCATTCTGTTCTCAGGCGGTATCCTTCCGGCGGTCGAAGATTATGCAGGCACCACATTGTATCCTGGTGGTATTGGTCTTGAGTACTACGGTGGAAAAGTTGCGGTCAATACATCGGTCGCCAAAATCCGGGGCCTCACTAGAAATTATACAGTGACACAACAAGGTCTTTCGGCGAATATTTCCTGCAGTGACCTTGACCCAAACGACTCGGAATACTCGCTGAGCATTTATAACACAACTTCGCAGGGCTATATATCAAATATTACAGCTTGGGAATGGGTAGCTCATTGTCCTCTCGGCAGTACGTCTGCACAGTCCACCTTGTACTATTTGACACCGCCTGATGTTGTTCGTCAGCGGGTGCCAGCTATTTTTCGACGGAGGTTTTCACGGGGTCTTTCACATTTGATGGCCTTCTCGGTGTTGTTGTCTGTCCTACTGTAGGATACCTGTATACTAATGCCACATCATTCGGTGAGCGAGTTCAGCGTTAAGAAGTGTAAATGTTGATTGTCGCTACTTCCTTAGACATCTTCCTCCAGGGCATCGGAGAATATAGTTTTTTGAATGCAACAATCTGTAACGTAGCACCACATGTGGCTTCGTTCAATGTGACATACGATCAGTCAATGATCTCCGTCGATCATCAACCTCATTCCATCCAGCTACTCCAGAATGACAGCACAACTGTCATCGCCTTCTTAGTGGAGGTAGTGTACCGGGTGGCTATTTCTACTCAGACGACGTACAATAACCCTTTGGGGGAGTTGCTGCAGCTTAATACAACAGACCCCATGGCTTCGGCGATGAACATTTTGGTAAGCAGCTTTTGCCACATTTAGAACTGCAAACAAATTGTCTTACTTTTGAGTCCCGCAGGAAAACTACTTCCGTGGCATTGTAGAGTTTTCTGGCACAGTAAGTGGACAATCTCGTCTTACCCATCACTTTCAAACGGGGGCTGATATACTGTAGTACCTTCGTTCTGCCTACTTTGCAGAAGGTGCCAGTGCGAATTCCGCGATGCAGGACTTGTTCGCGAACAAATCAGCTTTCATACCCCTGAATGGAACAATGTATATCACAACCTACGGTTGGTACAGAGGACGCCGTACATACATCTATACTCTCGTCATCTTCACGGTCATCTGGGCGGTCACTGTTTCAGCTGCTGTGTACAGTCTAATTCAGGAACGTACTCACCCACGCTCCTGTACCACTTTTGACGCATCGAACCCAGTCCATCTGATGGTGGCATCTTCAGCTGGAGGACTAGAAACGCTCGCAAGATTTGAAGATAACGTAGCTTTGGAGAATGAACATGCACGAGTGCGTCTCCTAGATGGTCGGGATGTGGCACCAGATGATGCAGTGGGGGAGAAGACATCCGCTCAGCCTACTAGATCGACAATGCCGCGGTTCGAGATTGTACCATAGGTAAGTATCCTACAGCTGTTGGGTATAACGTGCTATGCAATCTTTCATGTCTTACTACCATGATGTTGCATCTGCATGGTCACCAACAGTGACTCCCTTATCCCATGTGATTTTCTTTCCCTTGATATGATACTTATGGTCTTGGCTTCCGAGTTGCCACGCTACGCACATAGTACCTGATACTCTTACAAAAAACCTATCAAAGACCCAGTAGATAGACTTGTAAAGCCTTGTGTTCTTACAACTGAGCTGTTACCTGGTGATATTGCTTTGATCATCTTAAGTCTTTTCCTTGTGTCTTCACCTGGGGATATCACCATACATGATGTTAGTTAGTTGCTGCACCATGGTAAGAATGGAAGTATGCACAATATCAACAAGCAGGATGGTTTAAAAAGAGACTTGCAAAGTGATCATACACCTTTCTCGTGAATGAATACATGTGACAAGGAGATAAAAAGTATTGAGTCATGAGGGGGGCCCCAGTAGTGCACAGTCAAATACAGCCTGGGGGGTAAACTTACACCTGTAAATTAGCATTAATTCATGTATGGATCTGGGACTTCAGGCATTTTGGGGGTGTGAATTTGGGTGAATTTGGGATTTCAGGCCATATAGTGATATTGATGTATCAATAACCTATAATGTATAGGGTTGCTTTGATACATTATTTCCACTAGGCAATAGCTTGCTAGGACACATAGTAGTGATACATCAGTAGGTGGATCTGTTGCTCCTTGGGTCTTGGCACTTGTTCCTGGCCTTCTCTGATGGGTACCTTGCTTCTTCTGCTGACATATCAATGATCACTGTTTGGGGCTTTACCAGGATCTATTAATATTTCTGGTAGCCTTCTTACAGTTGCATTGCCAGCACCTTCTCGAACATCATGTGATGTGCAAGTTCAAAATCTCACTAAGTCTAGCATGTCAATGTAAGTAACTCAGATGTACCTTAGAAAATGGAATACCAATGGCAGGTGTGGGCTTGGAATTCTATGAAGTACACATGTTCACCCACTCCAACATTTGGAACAGTTGAGAAAACTTAAAATTGATAATGTTGGCCAAGAAACAACTTAATTGCAGTAATGAGAATATGTCTAGTGAAACTTAGGTAGAGTTACTATGTAGTACTATACTAATTACATTCAAAATTCATCATGGTCACCTCCTTCCTGCTTTGCATGAACTTGCATTGGTGACACCAATATTATTGGCCTCTTCAGCTTGTTTTGATTGGAAATGCTGGCATTTTCTGTGACCAGAATTGTCCTCTTCAGTACCATTTTTTGCTGAAATGGAGACTTTTTTTGCGTGCATTTTGAACCTCATTGACATTGAGGGGGAATGGGTGTTATGGCAGAGTGCTGTGGGGCATCAGTGTGCGACACTGATGCAGTGTCAGCAAGAGGCAATGCCAGTGAGGAGTTACCACCAGCATCTAGGCCATTATTGTGAGTGAAGTTGTATATGTTTGAGGGTGATGTGAAGAATGGGCGAAGACATGGAGATGTGACTCCAGATACAGATGGTGGTACCTGAGGAAGTGGCAGGTCTATGTCTGGACTGTGGAGGAGATCTAGGAGAGACAATGGCTGCCTGGTATTAGCCACCAGTGTTGACTGACCATTGCTGGTAGCAGGAATTTGCCATTGTGGCGGCATAGGCAGGATAGGGAGTTGCGGGTTAAAATTATCCACATTGTCTTCCAAGGGAGGGAGTTCAAGTTCCTCATCTGTAAAACATTGCAGATGGGAACTAGAGAAAAAGTTGGTGGTGTCAAGAATGGCATTGATGTCGTGAGAAATAGGATCATTTTGACCATTGTCTGTAGAGGGAGTTGCAACTGGGGAAGTAGATAGAGTGGCATCGATGTTAATGGGGCTTCCAGAACACTCGGTAACAGCAGTTGATATATCAGCTGGTGCGGGACTTGAAGTTGTGTCTTCTGGAGAGGTTGTAGTACCTGGTGTACTCAACACAGAGGCCTCTGCTGCAATGAACAGTAGTTAGCTTTGTTGAATTTGTGAGTAAGACTTATGTGAACTTATGGAATGCTTGGTGAACAAATTCTGAATATGGTAACATGACAGTTGTTGTGAACTGCAGGTAGGCCTGGCTAAACCTGTTTCCCAGCTTTGTCATGCCAACATGAAAACTGCTGATGTCCAGTGTCCCACTAGCCACAGGATCAGGGCCACCCATCAAAACTGAGAATGTCCAAGCTGTCATCAGATGGAGCTCCTCGAAGAACTGGGTAAGAATTGCTCTAATTTTGGATATGTAGCTTCAAGTTGATTGAAATTAATGTGGTGCATTAAGATGAAGCAAATGCTGATGACTCACACTGTGTTATCTAGGGATGCACTGTTCTTTTTGATCTTGTCCATTTCAACACGCTTCTTCTCCTTCATCGCCTCTATTGCAACCCAAATTTCTTCCTTAACATCCTCAGACTCTGCTGCAAATGCCAGTTTTGTCTGCTCTTTAATGATAGACAGGTTCATCTTCTTCATTAGCTTTGCATTAGGGTCACTCTTGAGGGTGTCTTGCAGGCTTTTGACAGTATCTTTGACCTTATCATGTGTTAAGGTTGTGTGCTCAAGGGGGTTGGATCACAAGGGCTTGGCCTCAGCTCATATGCTGTGCCCCTTTCCCAAGTATGTGCCCTTAATTTTTGGGGGCTAGAATAGTTGTCCAGAGTTTCTGGGTTTTGACTAGGGTGGATAATGGGCATCCAGATCTGAAACATGAGATAAATCCAGCAGATGTCTGGATGTTACTTGGACAAGCAGATAAGACTATTCCAGATGGATTCTGGACTAGAAACTAACAGGGGGTAGACTACCCTAAGGTAGAGCTGGAGATGTAGTCTAGGATACAACCCTAAGACTCAGAATGTGACAAGAGACTTGGCTCGAGTCCAGAGGACACAGAAATGAGCAGGAACTAAGATGATATTTGAACTGAAGTATTTCTGAGAGTTACAGGAGGTCTATATACTGTAGGTATCATATAGGAATCAGTCAGCAAACACAAAGGCTATGTACAAAATGTATGCAAAGTCTATTAGTAAGTAGGACAGATCACAAATAATGCATATCAGAAATGAAATGTATGTAATGGATCAATAATCAAAAGGGAAACATAATTAACTGGAGTCCAGAGACAGGGGAAGTCTAAATGGGGTTGTGCGCTGATATAGAGTTTGGATTCCAGAAGGGAGATAAAGATAGATCAGATTATTGGAGATCTGGATCTCAGATCTGGATGTCCAGAGAAGTGGATTTAGAGTTGAGGGTCCAGAATGGCATATGACATCATGGTAGTGAAGATGCACATACATCTCCCAGCCTTGCAGAGAGCAGGATGGCTTTTCTTTGGAGGCCTTCATGATCTGACCAACCATATTGTTGACTGTGGCATTGTGAGTAGCATTGGCTCTCCTTCCTGCCTTTGAACTGTTGAGGTCATTGTGCAGCTTTTCCATTAGCTGCTATTGAACTGCCGATTAGTGAATGCATGCATGGTGAGGTCAGTTTTTCATACCTGTCACCATAACTTCCATGCCTCAGCCTCTACATTTTTTGTTCCACAGTTAATTCTACATCTAGTGGGATATCTGGAAAGATAATCTCTCTCTCTGGAAACTTGGCAGCCCAGTCTTCAAAGAAAGGATTCCAGAAGGAGTTGTAGTCTTTATCTGCCTTGCACTCCAGGAATTTGGCATCATGTGATTGCATGAACAACAGTTGTCCAGGGGTATATTTACTCTGGGGAGCCATCTGTGTCTCTTAAGGTGATGATGTAATTGATTTTTTTTTTTGATGATTTAGAAATGAATGTGATTCAAATGAGTGATCTGTTACTGTCAACTTGCACCAATACTGATGATTAAAATTTGCAAGGACATGAGCCAATCCACACAGACTAGTCTCAGTTTTCTTGCTGGAAAAGGATGTGGCACAAATCCATTTTTTTCAAGGTCACAGCTCAATATACTAGTACATGGAGGCCACAGTTCTAAATACTTGGTAGTGAGAGGTATTGTATGCAAAGCTCATTGTCAGTCCTCCCACAGTGTCCCAAACATTCCAGTAGGGTATATTACACAAAGTCTGTCATCAGTCCCACAACAACCTGAGTGTCTGTACATCTTACAAGCATATTTTGGTGACAGCCACACCCATGTCATCCATGACTTTAACTCCTACAGCATTCAAATGTTGTCAGTTTACCCCCAGGAAACAATGTGGTATAACTGACTCCTTTACAAGCTTCTTCAGCTGAATGTAACTCATGTTCCTGGTCTTTGGTGAGTGCATACCCAGCCAGATCAGGCCATAGTACATCATGCTTAGGCTATTGCTGCAGCCAGTTGCTATATAACTGTGCAAAGAATTCTTTGTGTTTGGTAATTGGTGTTTGGTTGTGTTCAGTCACCTGTGGCATCAACCATGCATGCTGATCTTGTGTAGGTTGCCATCTTGGCATCTGGGAACACCTATCATATCAGAAAGAATGGCCTGACAATGAAGATTACTTACAACAATATTAATGATAGAGGTTATGGTGAGTGACAATTTTTTTTGTTTGTGTTGCAAGCTAACGTTGTTAGGTGAAATTAAGTCACACTTTGCAGGTGGTTGCCTGGTTGTTTGGCATTCATCCTGCACAGACCAACTTGAGTCAGCCTGACAAGGACAGTCATATGCTAGGTCTTCTTGCCAAGAAAGGACATTGTGTGTGATTACATTTCATAGGTAGACACAACAAAACACTGCTACTACTAATGTATGTCTGCCTGGCAGATGCTATCAGTGTACTGGTGATATATCTCTCCTTTTTCATATGCCTTGTCCAAGGCATCAGAACCAATTATAACATAAGCAATGATATCTTGTAATGAGATTCTGACTGTTCACAGATGCATCAGTACTGCATGCTCAAGCCCCCATGCTTCCTCCTCTAAGTCCTCAATTGTGTCAAGTGCTGTTTGAATATTCCCAAACACAGTCTGCACTTCCGAGTCCTTGCACTCAATGAGCGCAACACACAAACCCTCTACAAAGTCACAAGATGAGCATCCAATGACCATGAAAAGCTTTTCATCAATTTTTCTTGATTGGATGCATCTGGTGATGGTAAGTAATGAATGAATATTGATATCTAGACTTAGTACATTTGTTGACACCTTTCTTTGTATCTGGCTTGTATTTTTTCATGGTTCCTATAGACAGCCATAGTCAGGTGGATATGTAGCTAGCCACAATGAGCAATATACTTTTCATTATAGACTTGTCTAGAATTGCAAGTAGCCTGAGCTTTTTCTTCACAGGAGTTGTGCAATTGAGGGCGTCCCATGAGAGAGTCTTGGTACAAGGGAGATTTACACACAATGTGAGTCTTGTGAGTACAAATTCTTGCATGGGTATTTACGTCTGAGGGAGATTTACTTCACATAGTTGATACAGATTTGCCACCCAGAGATTCCATGCTGCTGTATACCTACCTAATGCTCATCCAATGGTATGTAACTTATAAATTCTCACTGAACATACAACAAGTACAAATGTTTTATTTGAACAACTCAACCTCTGGAGCAGCCAAGATGTTGAGCATGAACCAAATGGTGAGGAAATTGTTGCACCAAAACCATGTCATAACCATGGTATCATCTATTTTTATCCAATTAATTGACACTTGTGAGGATCTTCATCTGCTCTATTACCCTGCAATTTTGCTATTGGCTTCATATTGCACCCTTCCAAGGTGGCTAAGCTCAGGATTGAGTGCTTCAGGCATGGAACTCCAAGTACCAGTACTCCTGCAGCCCCACTCCAACGTTTATGGGAATACACACTCTCTTTGGATGGTCACACAAATCTGTGCACTGACTATATCCCACTCAGTCAATCCACCTCTGAACAGGAGATTCAGCCTACTATCAACACCACTACTGCTGATCCCCAGGAATTCCTATCAAATGACTACTGGAATGAGGTACCTATTGATGTCAGTAGCAAGTGTGAATTGTCACATGACAAGCAAAAATGAACAGCAGTTGTACATTTTGTACCTTGTGACTTGTGTTGACTATGTTGAATAGTTTGATAGGATACACCTATTCTAGTATGGATTCCAGAGTGTGAGGCATTTCTTGATGAGATGCTTCATCTTGAGGGGTGAGGATTTGATGCACAATGAAGTAATTGTCACTGTGGAAGTGTCAACTTGTCATTTCAGTGCAGGGAATGTTTTGGAATGGAGATGCATTGCAAAGACTGTATTCCTGAGTATCACTGTCACCTCCCATTACACATCATGGAGGTGAGCATTTTGCTGAACTTCAACTGCATAGCAATTAACACATTTATAGATGTGGAATGGTTCATTTTTTGAATGGGTATCTCTGAAAACACTTGGCTTGCACATCCAACTTAGCCGCAATCTACATGATTGCTGTCTAAATCCATGACCATCTTCTGGTGATGACTTTGTTGTGATAGATGTTAATGGTATTCATGAAGTCACACTAGATTTTTGTGAGTGCCCCACTGCACAAATTTGGTATAAGCAACTTCTCCATGCTCATTGGTATCCAGCAACCACTACCAATCCATGCACCACTGCAACTTTTGGTGTCCTAGAACATTATCATCTGCTTTCATTCGAGTCAAAAGTGTCTGCATATGAATTTTACCACAGCTTAGCATGGCACAGCAACAATACAGGCCTAATACCAATCAGGGTGAGTTATCCCACACAAATACACATTATCAGCCACATTGAAACATTTCTCATAGGATTGTTATGCATTGTTCATGCACATGATTCACAAATGGAGGCACTTGCAGCAACTTTGGCATGCAGGGAGGGGGCATGATCCCAATGGTATCAATGCCACACAAGAGGGTGAGCTCACTGTATTGTGCCTGGCATGTCCACAGCCTGGGAGGAACTTACTGGAAGGGTGGGAGAATGTTGGACCAAACTCAAGGTGAGGACTTGAATCAATGATACAATTTGATGATGAGAGGTTAAGTATGTTCTACAGGTGGCATTGTCATGCATGGTATGTGATTCATACCATGACATATACATAACAGGAGTGATAAGGAAGGTATAATACACCAGACTGATCCTATCACCAAGTTATCCCATCATTTTTCCTTATTATTTAGCTAGTTTTTCACTTTCAGATTTCACTTCTATTTTTTTTCTTTTCTTTCCATGTATTTCTATTTTTTTCTCTTTCTACTTTTACTTAGGCATATTCAGCCACCACATTTTCTCATGAGCCACCAGGCATGTTTGTAAGCATGTCATGTGACTGAGAAATACTTTGATTTGTAAGGATTCAACTTGACTCATCATGTTTGGTCATGATTCATCATGCTTTGTAAGACTTGCAACTGTATTTATAATCCACTTAGTAATAAGGCTGATTCAGCACACCCATAGGCTTGGTTTGTAAGCACAATCTTACCAATCTATGTGATGACTCATGCCACTTTTCTTTATGCTTTGTAAGATTTCACTTTATTTAATATCTACTTAGTAAACAAGCTGACTCAACACAAGTTTGTAAGCACATTCTTACCAATCATTGTGAAGAATTATGCTTAGTAAGATGGTCTCCAAAAAAGGTATATAAGGAGCTCATTTTACACCTATGAAAGTAGACTTCCCACTTTCACTCTTTATCTCAAACCATGTGAGAACATTTAAGATTTAAGTGCAGGCCATTCAGTAACCTTGAAGTAAGACTAAGAAACATCTATTCAGGTTATATACTACCTTACAGGGGTTGACTATATAACTAACAGTACAGCTGACTAAGCTAAAGCTTCATCTACACTACTTTCTTCTCTCTTTTCCAGGAAGGGAGACACAATTCACAAGCACACAAAGTGCTACACATTCAAAGTTCACATGCAGTACTCCAGACTACTAGTTGCTTTTAGACCAAGGAAACAAGAAGAGGATAATTGAAACATATCCCTCCCAAGAACTCACACATTATCTACCACAAAAACTAGAAAAGTCGTAGACCACGTACTTAAGGACTGGCAAGAAGTCTTATCCTGTATAGTTGTGTTGTCACTATATATGTGTTGTACATAAGACCCTTAAGTAGTAGGACAGCATTACACACTTTTCATTGCTGTGGATGCAAACTTCTGGCTCAAAAGGAAAGCCATTTCAAGTGACCAAGTGGACCCTGGCTTGAATGTTGGCTGGGCTTACTTTGTCAAAGAACAGCAATATAAATCGCACTTGAATGATCATGTACTTCAGCAGCAAGAGGTGAGCCTTTCTCTTAATGCTTACCTAAATCTGAAAGGTGATGCAATGCCTCATGCAGCACAGTAGCTATGTCAGCCACAATGCCATCAATATAGCAGACATGAAGTCTTCATGTGGTTTAGCTGCCGCTGGGGTAAGGACTGTGGACTGCACCTGACATAATATGAAGCATCCAAACAGTGTGGGTGACCTCCAGAAGGGGGAGAGGTACATTTTCTGTGGACCTAGTGATGTCTGCATCAAACTGACCCAGTCATCTACTAGGTATATCAACATGGAGTACCTCATTTTATCTACCTTGGCATGTTCACCAGTACCAGTACTCAATGTGTCTTATGACATTGCATGTCAGTGGTCTAAAAATTTCTGGGCCCGAATGGAGACAATGCTGACACACCTCCACCTCCCCTGTGAAAACCTCAACATTCATTACTTTGTCCCAAAGTTCCATATTGGCGCACACATTGAAGAGTGTCAAATCACATTCTCTTGGAACTTTGGCAAATTTGTTGGACAGACAGATGGTGAAGCACCAGAACAAGGCTGGGTAAATATAAACCAAGTTGCTTCAAGCACAAAGGAGATGGGCCCTGGCACATGGCACAATACTTTGGATGATTATTTCAGTGATTGGAATTGGAAGAAGATTACTGCACTTGGTATGTAAATTTCAGCTCTTTTCTGCTACAAAATCTCATAGGTAGGACAAACTCTCAAATGTAAAATGGTGGATGCTGTCAAGTGGAAGGGCAAACATTGTTGTGCTTTAGATGAGCTTGAGGCAACAATTCATCCATGTTTGGTTGCACAATGGAGGGGTGAAGTTGAGATGTGGGAGGAAGATAACATGAAGCCCAACCCTTTTCAAAGTCACGTTGTTCATGAGTATTCTGATTCCCTCCCATTGATTACAACTCTCATTTCCCTTAGCAATCACACTGGCAGCTATGCATTTACAGCTAGCTGACTTGGAAGCTTCTGAGTTGTGGGTGGGGATAACCATTCACTCCATTGCAACATATCACCCAGTATTCTTATCAGCATGGGTATAAATCTAGAAGAACAGCAGTACATGATATCAACACAATTTATTTGTAAATTTTCATTTGCATACAAACAGACAACATTTTCACCATGACACTGCCAACCTGTCCCTGCACCCCACTGACAAGCAGAAAGAGATGCTTACACACCACACCAACACATTACAATGCAAGATTGACACCTGGGCTTGTGTCCAGGAGTTATACATGCCCATTGTGCCTACACTGCATTCATTGGTGATGGATCCTGCTGCACAAAGCACCCTTAAGCTGCAGGATTTCCCTCTTTACCTGCCATCTGCACTTGATAATGCCCTTGAATGTGATCAACAGATCTGTGAGTATGAGTGGGAAATGCACTATGCCCAAGCTCTGGACACCCTAAATGAGGTCAGGTCCCATCTACACCTGTGCTCACACATGTACAAGTTCAAGGAGAGAAATTTATGAGGCCAGGCTGCTTCCACATGTGCTCAGGCCCTTATTGCACATTGTGACGATCATATTCCTGCTAGGCTTGCAATGGCCATCTTTTGATATACAGTGGCTCAAAAAACTGTCCGCATGTTTTGACATTTTTCACTATCTATGATATTGTGTGAGAACAAACAAATGCCTCAAGGACATGCTTATACCACATTGCAGTATGGCTTCAGGGCTTTCATTTGAGCCCTACACCGTGGGAATCGGTGGAGATATGGTGGAGATACAAGGCTTACAAAATCATGACTCATGCGGACAGTTTTTTGAGCACATATTAAAACTATATAAATCATCATTTATGACACCATAACAATCATGCCACCATTAAATAAATTATAAAGTGGTGTCATTATGTCATTTTAAAACCATATCTAACTATACAAACCAAAAATTTCCATATGTCATGGTTATATTCACCATGAAAGCCACTCCCCCTGCTCAAAGGGATAATATCCTCTCTCTTTCCTATTCTGGCCTCTCTGCTTGTCAAATTTCCTCTAGAACTGGAGTATCCAAGTCCACTGTGGCCAAGTTCATCAAAGAAAGTCACACAGACAAGGAAAACTTCTGTGAAGGGTGTCCATCCAAGCTCACCTCTACTGATAGGAGGGCTATTATTCAACATATCACTACAGGAAAGGCTGATAATGCTGTCCAGGTCACCTATTACATCAATTCCACCATCACATTCCCTGTCTCTTCACACACTGTGAGAAACATTCTCAAGACAGCTCATCTCAGGTCAGTAACAAGGAAGAAAAGGCTTTCCTCTCCATCACACATAAACAGAGATGACTAACCTTTGCCTTAGCCCATCAGAATTGGATTACATGGAATGGAAGCATGTTATATGATCATATAAGACCACAATAAATAGGATTGGGTCAGATGGCAAGGTATATATGTGAAAAAAGAAGGGTGCTAGTCCTCTCTGCATATGTGTGATAGAGAGGAGAGCCTTTTCTTCCTTGTTACTGACCTGAGATGAGCTGTCTTGAGAATGTTTCTCACAGTGTGTGAAGAGACAGGGAATGTGATGGTGGAATTGATGTAATAGGTGACCTGGACAGCATTATCAGCCTTTCCTGTAGTGATATGTTGAATAATAGCCCTCCTATCAGTAGAGGTGAGCTTGGATGGACACCCTTCACAGAAGTTTTCCTTGTCTGTGTGACTTTCTTTGATGAACTTGGCCACAGTGGACTTGGATACTCCAGTTCTAGAGGAAATTTGACAAGCAGAGAGGCCAGAATAGGAAAGAGAGAGGATATTATCCCTTTGAGCAGGGGGAGTGGCTTTCATGGTGAATATAACCATGACATATGGAAATTTTTGGTTTGTATAGTTAGATATGGTTTTAAAATGACATAATGACACCACTTTATAATTTATTTAATGGTGGCATGATTGTTATGGTGTCATAAATGATGATTTATATAGTTTTAATATGTGCTCAAAAAACTGTCCGCATGAGTCATGATTTTGTAAGCCTTGTATCTCCACCATATCTCCACCGATTCCCACGGTGTAGGGCTCAAATGAAAGCCCTGAAGCCATACTGCAATGTGGTATAAGCATGTCCTTGAGGCATTTGTTTGTTCTCACACAATATCATAGATAGTGAAAAATGTCAAAACATGCGGACAGTTTTTTGAGCCACTGTAGGTGATGAAAAGCTACAAAACCATTGTCCGCTTTTCCCGCACTCAACCCACTCCGGACGCGTATTCCCGCGCTCTGCAGACCCTCACATACCTGCAGTCGATTTCCCGCGCCTTCGGACTACCTTACAGATGTCCCGCATCAGTCCATTGTCCATCCTACCTCATTGGTACATATTTTGCCTTGCCTCATGTGTTGTAACAAGTGTTGCAGTCTTATTACATGTCTTTACATATTCCTACTGCCTGTCTGTCCTGTCCCTTCCGTTTCCAAGAGGGTTTAGCTAGTATAAAGTGCCTAGGGTGACTACTTTGTATTTACTCCCCTTCTACAGTATTTCCTTCCCTTAGGTTTTATTTAGGAGCAGTCACCATTAGTGCGCGCTTTTTAGCCCCTATTGGTTACCTTATACCTGGACACCTTGTCTTGACTTTCCTTACCTGTGCAATCAATACCCTTGCCCTCACTTGTTGCCCACACCATTCCTTAAGACTTCCCTACCCCTTACCTAGCATCTGCATCAACCACTCATTGACCGCTCGTTGACCGCACTTCCGCATTCCCACACTCTACATACCTGCACACTTTCGGGTCTTTAGTATCATCGGCTGTTCTCAGTAGCAATTCCCTTTAGGGTTGAACATTCTTGCTTGCAAGTGTAGCAGCTAGGCAGAGCATCGACCTACAACAATATTTTTGGTTAGGCACTTTAACAAGTGTCTAGCCATTGTTATGTTTGCACAATGTGTTGAGGCATGAAAGAATGCTAGTGTTGGCAAGTACTGACATGCTCATGCTGTGCTTGTTACACAGCCATAAACTGGAGAAAGTTGGCTGGGAATTCACAGTCCACCCACTCCAAAATGAGGATATTCAACCCATGGGCAATTTTGCTGGCAGCCATTCACAAGGAACAGGGACGCTATCATGGATCTGGGTAGCTCATCAAGCTGATAATAGTTGCACTGAGAATGACAGAGTTCAAGACTGTGAGTGGCACATTACGCTTGCTTGGGTAGGGACTCACTGGACTTGTCTATTGCAGGTGTCTGTATTGAGTGGTGCAAGGCCAGAGCACATGCATCTCATTGGTCAGAAGAAGTCAAATTGTTGCTTGAAGAGATGTGAAGAGTACTTGCATACCTAGAATGGGAGGTAGAGGCATGGCAACACCATGCAACACTATACCAACTTACAAAGTGCCCAGAACAAGAAGGACTCACAGCCTACGCATTTCGCCAAGTAGGTTTGTGTGCTGATATGCAACTATCTTTCCAAGGCATATGGAATGATGTGCCAATACTTGTAGCATCAACACTAGATGCCATGAATGATTCTACTATTAGTGAAGGCCACAATGAAATGGACGAGGCTCCTTCCCTCCATGCTCCACCTAGTATACATGACTGTTAGTAGTCTTGTCACCCATAGTACACTGCTGAATGATATTATCTGTTAATGCCAGTACACTGAGATCCCATCCCAATTTCACAAACAATGTATCTAAGGTACAATAAATGAGAGTTCTATTCTTGTTGTACCAGATCTCATTTTTCAATCTTGCAAACATAGATTCCATTATACAAAGATAGATCTAAGGAACAACAAAAGGCTGCAGTCTATAAATGTAGGTATCAATAGGCTGTAATGTATAGTAGATTGATGTATTACAGGGTACTCTATACCAGTGGAAATAATGTATTGAAGGTTGACTGTAATGAGAGTTTATGATACATCACAGTCACAGGTACTGGTGGGGATTTGTATCAGGCATCTCTGTGATAGTGTATCTGTGAAAATTTGTAAATAGAGTGCTTTCACCAAGTGACTTTTGCATTTTTCACAATGTGAAATGACACTCTGCTTTATGGTGCTGGATCAGTTCAAATATTATACACATATGAGACACTCTCACACATATACATATAGTGTTGCCACAGCTCTGGCTTATGGTTGGTTTTAGCTGCAGCAAGAGCTGTGGTTAGCTGAGCAGAGCATGTGCACTGGCTTATATAATATACAACTTAGCCCAGTTGATGTCACCATGGTTAAGGCTAGTTTAAGGGCTTAAAGCTAGCTCAAATGAATTAAATTAAATTAAATTAAATACATTTTTGTAGTAGTACTAGTACATGATGTGATGGTGATGAGATTATGAAGGAGGTAGGAAAATGTCAGTGATAGAGAGCAGGAACATCAGGAATGTCATCACATTCATCTACTGCCATGGCTTTGAGAAGTGCATCATGCTCAGAATTGCAACTGCTGCCAGTACTTCTAGCAGACAACAAAGATGCCTCCTGATGTGTGTCATCTGACTCCAGTGTGCACTGTATTTGAGTATAATACTCCATTTCCCACTCTGATGCTGACCATCCTTTCATAAAGTTGAGCTGTTCTTTCTTCAGCAAAAACTTGAGCATCTGGAGGATCTCCACCATAGCAGGGCTGAGGCGATTGCACTTCTTGGTACACATCTCACTGCTTGATGAAAAAATGCATTTGCAAGGAATGGCAGAGGCCTGGATCAGCAGATAATCCATTGCAAGGTTGTAGATGGTGGGAAAGAGGGTTTTTGAGCTCTGGTTGACATGCAATCAATAATGAATAAATGTGAGTGGGTCAGTTCCTTGAGGGCTGACATGGGATGTACTGTATGTGTTAAACTCCTTGTTGACTGTTTGAACACTGAGATGGTGACATGGCAGCAGGTCAACATCAGGAATACCATAAATTTGTGTGCCTAAGGTTGTAGTGTGTGGTTGGTGAGCAGGCAATTCTACCAGTGGATGTTGTACAGAGCTGGCTCTCTTTTCCTGCAGCTGTAGGACATGTTAGGTCAAATATGCACTGTTTGAGTCAAGGTAGACATACCAGTCACATGATAGAGTCTCTGACAATATGAGCACATTTTTTGCCCCAGTGACCATCAATCCATGATAAATGCAAGCTAGGGTCAATGACTATACAAAAAAATTGTGAGAGATCAAATTGTATCAAGATTCATGACCAAACTCACACATCATGATCACATATGCATTCATCTGATTCATCTTGTGACCATACTTCTCTGCCCAGGTTAAGCCTATATTAATCATGGGCACACAGTGTGTGATGATCTGGGCCAACCCTTCCCACCACTCCATCAGATGTTTTTTTTATTTTTATTTTTATATCCATTTTTGTGTCCATTTGGGGTAAGTCTACCCTATGTTGGACAATTCTATCTAGTCTAAAGGGCACCTGTGCCCTGTGTTGCATCACTAAGACCACAGATGCCCCAGTGTAGGGTGTACCCCCACTGGTCTGCCATTCCTGCTGGCCGTTTTAGGTGCACATCTTTGACAATGATGGACAGACATGATTCTACTAGCTATTAGGGTTGGACTGCTCAATTTGTTGTTCCTCTATAATGGGTACTTGGCCACTGGAGTGGCTCAAATACAGGAGACTATTATGAAGGTGCAGTAAGGTGGGGTTGATGAGTGGTTGGTGTGTGCTATGGGTTGCATTGTGGTCCTTTGGCATCCTGATGAGCTCATACTATTCCCGTCTCTTCTTCCATGCATCTTTCCGCAATTTGAACTTCATTGACTTGATGTCTGAGTCATCCTGTTTTGAGTAAGAGTGGTGAATGGTTAGTCTTGCTTGTGATGGCTGTGTAATGAGGCTTCTGGTTATTGACTGATCTATTTAGGGTGGTAGGAGTACTTCACTGAAAGTGGATTTGAGTCAACCTGTACTGTTGATGAAGCATAGGAAATGGGCCATTGCCTTGGGGTCTGAGAGGAGGTATGGGAGTGATGTGGCTTTGTGGCCAAGTGCATTTGCAAGAATGTGTCGTTCGTGGTTGTATTGTGGACAGATGAATAGGAAATGATGGATGGATTCATTGGTGTCTTTGCATGATGGGCAGTGTGGGGTTTCACTTCGGTTGATTCTGTGAAGATGGGTGTTCAGTCCGATGTGTCAAGTATGAAAATACATATAAAGGCTAATTAGTCACTTAGGGAATTTACCAATGAGCTTGATGAAAGAGTGGTTCAGGATCTTGGGGTCTATGGTGGCCATGTGGGTGTGGTGAGGGGATTTGGACCATATGTGTTCCCAGCATTCTTGGTTCCACTGTTTGTGGGCTTGCTTGATTGTGGATATGCTGCTAGGTAGGCCATTGCATAGGAATTTGGGTAATCTGTCCTCTGAGCTGTTAGAGTTAGGTCCTTCTGATGCTTTCTTCACTTCTCTGTCGGCCTTCTCATTACCTGGGACATTGCTATGTCCAGAGATCCATCTTATGGTGAGGTTGAAGTCATCTTTGTTGCGCTTTTTGATGAGTTGGGTTATCCTGCGGAAACGATCTATTAAGTAGTGTCTGGCTCTCAGTGTTGTGATCTCACTGGATTGTATCACTGCTTGGTTGTCAACAAGGATCGAGATTGGGAAGGTTAGGTCTTGTTTGGTTGCTATGAGTCTGGCTGCAAGAGTTAGTCCAACAGCTTCTGCTTCATATACAGTGTGTTCCTTTGCTGATCTGAGGTGGTAGCAGAGTATCCTGGGGTATCTTCCTTCACATATTAGGACAGCCGCTGCACCAATTCTTTCACTTTGGCCAGAGCCATCGCAGAATACTTGAATCTTGTCTGGCAGTGATAGTTGTTCTTGGATGACATCCTCTCTTGTTTCTGCTATGTGGACTTTATAGGGGCAGGGCATGGAAGGGGGTCGGTGGGCGGGGATGAGTGTTTCAATGTCGTCAGGGTTAATTCTGTAGGATTTCATGAGGCGGTGCAGGGCAGTCTGGTGATATATGACTTGGGTGCTTGCAGCTCTTCTGATGGGATGGTGCAGTGGATGAGTGTCTGGGTGGGTGGCTATACAGATTGTGGCTCTGTGGCATGTGTTTTGGAGTAGGAGAGGGATCAGAAGGAGATTGGTGTGAGCTTCTAGGATGTCTGTTGTGGAGGTGCACATTGCTCCCATGATGGCAATGGCCACCATTCTCTGAACGGTTGTTAGGTGTTTTGCTATTCCTATAGAGCCTTGTTGGGGTTTGTTTGAGTTGCCTTGAAAGGCCGGGGGGAACCAGACATCTGCTGCGTAGAGCATCTTGGGTATTGCTACAGCTTGGTATAATTGATGGATTAGTTGTAGTGGCATGCCCATTGAGGTAGAGGAGAGACAGCAAAGTTGGAGTATGTAGCTTGTTCCTTTTGCAACTGCATAGTTGACATGAGCTTTCCATCTGAGTTCTTGATCAAGAATGACTCCTAGAAAATGGTGAGTGGGAGTGGGAACGATGATGTTACCTCTAATATTCATTGCTGGGCAGGTTTTCATTCGGTTCATTGAGAAGTCCATCAGTGTGAACTTGCTGGTTTCGAATTTTGAGTTGTGGGCGATTGACCATTCAAATCCTCCTCCAGCTCATTCTAGCATGTCTTGGAGTATGCGATGGGTTTCTTCAAAAGTCTTGCCTATTGCTATGAATGTGGTATCATCAACAAATGCTAGTGTTGATTCTGCCTTCTGTCCCTTGGCTATATCTATTAGGTCAGCGTTGTATATGATGTATAGGATCATGGATAGTGGATCCCCCTGTCCTATTCCATTTGTCACTGGGATCCAATTGGATGTGAAGTCATTGAATCTTAATTGAGTGTGTCTATTGCATAGGATGTGTTCTGTGAAATCAATTAGTGCAGTGGGTAGCCTTCGCATTCGCATGTTGTGTAGTAGTTGGTCCGTTACTGCATTTGGGAATGCCCCCTCGATATCTAAGAATAAAGCTGAAGCTACTTTACCCGTTCTCCAAGAATTCTTGATGGAGGTCTCCAGTAGGTGGAGTGAGTCCGTCGTGGATTGGCCAGGTCTTCCTCTGAAGTGGGTGGGTGGGAGGAGGCGATGGTGTTCTAGCATGTAAGTCATCTGATCAGCTACAATTGTGGTTAGTAGTTTGCATGTGGTGTTAATAAGAGCTATTGGATGATACACTTTCATTACTGTATAATCTGGTTTTCCAGGTTTTCATAGGACTATGGTCATGAATTCTTTCCATGGTTCATAATAGGTTCATAGGAGGAAGACTGAGTTGAACAGGTGTAGGAGGTGGTCAAGGAGTAGCGCTGAGCATTTCTTGAAAATGATGTTGCAAATACCATCTGGTCTGGGGGCTTTGTATGGACTTAGTTTGATGATGTTTCGTGTGAGTTGATCGCTGGTAATGAGTTTTGCCGGGGCTATGGGATCTGGGTATATTGCATCTACTGGGACAGTTGAGATGTTCAAAGCTGGTGGGAAAAATGATTTAGCAAGGGCTTTGCTCTTTTCATTGTTATTGATAGTGTCTCATGTGGTTCCTGAGGCGTTTTTAATGTGGAGAGTTGGTATGCAGGTTTTGCCTCCATCGGTGGGTTCTGCAGTTATGTACTTATTGGCTGTCCAGATGTCGTTACCAGTGATTTGTTCCAGCCAGTCAGTCCAGTGTTCCTTCTTCACTTTCTTGATCGCTTCTGCATAGCTGTTGCATCTTCGTTTGTACTCTTCGTGGCAGGGATGGTCTTGAATCTCATCATATAAGATTGGTGACTGAGGCCGTTGACTGTTTTGCATAGGTTCGTAAGGTTGCATGTCCACAAGTGTTTGGAGTGTGGACTGGGTTGAGATAATGGGACTGCTTTGTCGATGGTGTCTGAGATCACTTTTGTGATGGTTCTGGCTGCACTTTGGAATTCGTCTTCAGTGACCCAAGGGCATGGTTCTGGGAGTAGCGTTAGTTTTGCTTTGAGGGTCTTGTTAAATTTGGTCCAGTCTGTGTCTTGAAAGTTTCTGGTAGCTTCAGATGTGATCCTTGGGACGGATAGTTTGAGAGTGCTTTGAATAGGGACGTGGTCAGTCCCCGGTCCATGGAGTGCCAGGTTGGTTCTGCAGGTGATGAAGGCATCCATAGTGTTCTCGATGCATAGTACATTGTCCAGTCTCGTCCAGTTGCCAGTACTTGAGGATTGAAGGGTTGGGTAGTCATGAGGGAGGGGTTGGTCCATGTTGTAGTCTGCTATGAGGTCCATTAGTGGTTGGGCTGCAGCTGCATTGAATAGGTGGTGGTTGTGTTCTTCTTCCCAGAGAGGGTGATGTCTGTTGAAGTCGCCTAGCCAGATCATGTGGTCATCTATTGTGGGTTGGATGGTGGCAATGTTCAATATTAGATAGTTCTCCAGTGCCATGAGGGTGTCCTGTTTTTCTCTGTTGTTGTATATATTAAATACTGTGCATTTTCCGAACAGTCCTGAAAACTGAATTACTACTACATCTGAGGACGGGAAGTTGAGTTGTTTCCAGCCGTTCTTGTCCAGTTCAGTGCTGATGAGAGTGACTGCGTGTGTTTTTTGATGCGTGTAGGTATAGTGTTGAGTAGGGTATACTGTGTGCCATTTGCGTGTAGATCTGGTATTGCATAGTTTATTCGAGCAGCATTCTTGGAGTGTGAGTATGTCCCAACGGAGGGCTGTGGGTCCATTGAGTAGCGATTCTTGGGCGGTTCTTGAGTTATTGAGGTTTTGTTGCCAGATTCAAAGCCTAATGGGGAGTTCTTCTGGTTGTTCAGACATGAGAAAGGTTCCAGGGGGTGTCTGCTGAACAGAATTGAGGTTCAGATGGGTCTGGGGGGGTGAGGGATGAGTATCAGTTAGTGGTGTTAGTACGGTTGATTTCTGTAGAGTTGGCTCCTGTGGTTGATTGCATTGGGCGTGGGCGTTCTTGTTTGTGGTTTGATTGAGGTGGTTGATGGGTTGGGAATGGTCTTGGTCTCATTGCTTCTCCTAGTGTTAGCTGTCAGTGAGTATTGGGGTGTGCATGTACAGTCATGGTGGGAGGTCTTTGGTATGGTGGGGCCTTGGGTGGGAGCATTACCTGAGTCCAGGGTTCTTCAGTTGGGTAGTAGGGCATGGCGTTTTCCAGGAAGTTTTCATTCATGGTTCGGCAGCATTCACTGAATGCTGGACAGGCTCTGCTCCAACTGGTGTGTGTTCCATTGCAACAGCTCATGCACCATGCATCCTTTTCAGTGTCGCCTATGCATTCCAAGGTGCGGTGTTCCTTTCTGCAGGTGCCACAGCAGTCTTTTGTGGCTTGACAATTCTTTGCGATGTGGCCGTAGTTCTGACATTTAGCGCATCTAATAGGTTTGCATTGGTCTTTTCTTACCCTTAATTTGACATGGTTGATGTAGAGTCCGTCGCAGAGGAGTTGGTTGGCCATTTCTGCATTAGTGATCTGGAGCATTGCAAATGCAGATGCTTGGCCTGTTGGTCATCAGTGTGGGGGTTTAATCCAGTGAATGGTTGAGAGGTGTTCCCTTTTCAGGTGATTTTCCTTGGCAACTAGGTCTAAGAAGTCTTGGCAGTCAATAGGGAGGTTGGTTGGGAGGTATTGGATAATGAGGCCTAGGGTAGGCTCACGAAGGTTGGCTGGGATACTAAGTTCGTTCATTAGTGCTGTCCTGCCTTCTGGAGATTGCAGCCAGTCGGATAGAGTTTTTGTAGTTAATTCAATGGTTAGTCCTCCGTTCTTGAGTTGGGTTATCACCTTGACATCATCTTTGTCTGTTAGATTAGCAGGTTTTACTTTTTCTAGTGCTTTGCGGGTCTTGGAGACTATGTCTGCATGGCTGGTGCCTAGCAGGAATAGGAGGTTGCCTGGGGTGGGGTTGATCATGATTTGTCTTGCTCAGGTTGCTGCTCTGGCTATAGCTTGGTCTGCTGGTCCTGGGATGAATGTCAGGGCTCTGGCAGCTGCTTCGCTGTACAGGGTTGGTGGCTGTGGTTGTTGTGCTTGAGGTATTTCAGTTAGCTTCTTGGTGACATTGTTGAGTTTGGTTTGCAGGGAGTCTATGGTTGGTGTTAGTAATTCTATGATGCTTTTTGCTTTGCTGATACTGTTTGCGACTGCATCTGCTGTGTCTTTGGCTCATGCTGTTAGGGATATGAGGTTAGTTTTTTCTAGTTCTAGGCCTAGTTCTTTTCTTTTTATGGTTTCTTCTAGTTGGTTTGTGGAGTCTGATAGTAGTGTCTTGATCGAGTCAGCAATTAGGTTCATTTTTTTGTTGTGGTCAGCTTTGAATAGGAGGATGGAGATGGCTCGAAGTATGTCGATGCATAGTGGAGTGAGGCCAGGTGTTTGAACAGTGAAGTCTAATAGGGCTGTTGTTAGTGTGTCTATGGTTATTTCAGATGCAGGGGTGATAAAAAAGTGTTTCTCTAGTTCAGCTCTCGCTGTGTTTTCATTTACTATTAATGAGTGTATCATTGGGTCACTTAGTAGGTCTGGAATGGATCTATTAGATGGACAATAATCAGCAGCATTTCTTTTTTGTTGGTTTGTTTTCGTTATTTGAGAGCTACTCAGTTCGTCTGCAGGCATTGTAGACTGGTGTCATATCCCACAATCTGGACCCATGTTCCATCATATTCCCATGCCTTCCGAGTCTACATCCAGACCCCACTTCATATCCAGCTCATTCCCAGATCCCCTTCCGCTGTGCTCCACACCTCAGCAGGATCGACTATGCTCTGGATTTACCCCTGAGCTCCAGACCATCAGATCTCCACTGCTAGCCTGATCCATACCCCCCTGTCCCATCCACCCTATGCACACTCCATCCAGCAAGACATCCAGACTTCACCTCGTCTCAGATTCAGGACTATATCCACCTTCTTGTATTCCGGTCCTGTATCCACCTTGTCTTCTGGATCCCCAGATCTCCGGACCTCCGGATATTAACACTGGACCTATTCCCACCCTCTGTCCGAGATCCTGCGCCTATCCCCATTTAGGCATCTCTACCTTTCTGGCTTTGGGTTACCTCTTCTTCCATCTTGCTTATTGATCCTTGTATGAGTCTTCATCTCCAAGTTCATTTACTTATGTTCCGTTTTACTTACTAATGTGTTTCCACATGCTCGTACATAGCCCTGCCCCTTTGCTTATTGATCCCCTCAGATATTCTCCAGTATATAACCCCTGTAGATACTCCTGTAGTTCCTCAGTTTGAATATCAACTTAGACTTGCCCAATCCTCTCTCGGACTTTGGTCCACCTAAGTCTGTCCTACCCATCAGGCCTAGGGATTGATTCCCTAGGCTGGAGCTCTGCCTTTCCGGCACTTCCCCTCTTTCCAGACTTAGGTCCAATCCCTGACCCTCTGACTCTACCTTAGTGTAGTCTTCCTCTGTTTGTTTCTACATTGGACTTCGTCCGATGTAGCCCCTATTCCTTCCGGACCTCCGGACCTCCTGTCCCTCATACCTCCAGGCATCCTGTCCTTTGGACGTTCCGCCCTCCGTACCTTTGGACGTTCCGCCCTCCGTACCTTTGGACGTTCCGCCCTCCGTACCTTTGGACGTTCCGCCCTCCGTACCTTTGGACGTTCCGCCCTCCGTACCTTTGGACGTTCCGCCCTCCGTACCTTTGGACGTTCCGCCCTCCGTACCTTTGGACGTTCCGCCCTCCGTACCTTTGGACGTTCCGCCCTCCGTACCTTTGGACGTTCCGCCCTCCGTACCTTTGGACGTTCCGTCCTCCTAACCCTCAGACATCCTATCCTCCTGTCCTTCAGACATCCTGTCCTCCTGTCCTCCTGTCCTCCTGTCCTCCTGTCCTCCTGTCCTCCTGTCCTCTGGACCTTTGGACCTCCTATCCTTCCATCCTGTTTCCTGTAGAAGTATTACCTTGCAGTGGGAACTCTCCTGAGCACTTCCTGCATTCCTCCGGAACTCTCCCATGCTCCTCCGGAAGTCCTCTAGTGCTCTCCAGCAGAGTAGCCAGCCTCCGGAAGTCCTCCGGACTTCATTGGACCATCATTGGACCTCATCTGAAATGAAGGGCACATACTCAGGTAAGGGGCACAGCATACAAGCTGAGGCCAAGCCCCTCTGAGTCAGTCTCTCTCCTTTGAGCAACATGGTTCTTAACAACTGGCTGGGTTGTTGGTTTTTATAAGTAAAGCTAGTATATATGACACTGTGAAGGTTCTATGAGGTTTTCTTGGGACTGGAGGGACGCCCTTTGGGTGACATTGACACTGTTGGGTGTATTGTTTGATTAATGTTTTTTGGGGTCCTAGTCAGGGTGCCACTTAGTGTAGGACTAAGGGATGTTTCCATCAGATGTTCTAAGGCAGAGACTGCACCACTCAGCATAGGTGTATTTTCACTGGACATTGATTGTTGGCAAGTGTGGGGTACCTGATATAGATTAAAACACATGACAAGCTTCAGCAATATCAACACTGACCTCTAAAATCACTTCAAGGTCTTGCAAGACCATCCACTCCATCAGACTCAATCCATGTTTGGATAAGCTAGTTTGAGTTGTGAGGTAGCAATCAATAGCCTGGGACACTGTGAGTTTACAATGAATGTTATGTGAGACAAAATCTTACTAGGTGAAGTGTTCAAAGACGATTGAGCATAATGTATGTTGAATCCCATTGAGTAGGCTCATCACATAGAAGTTCAAGGACTGGAAGCTTTCCTCCTGGAAATAAATTTCCCTGGTTGCCAATTAAGATAGCATTCTGGAAGGCTTCATGTCATTGGCCCAATGCACAGATCACACACACAAGATTCTTACCCCACTTGACAGGTGTGAGTTTCAGAGCTTCCAAGTACCTCTCCTCTTTGATGGTGGTACTACAAGCTAGCCACTCAGTGGGCACTGTTGTAAGATCTACAGAATGGTAAGAGGCTATAATGTGCTGAATGCATATGTTGATTATATGCAGGAAACATGGGATTTTGTGATCAATGGGATTGAACTCGATGCCACATGCTGACAGCAGACAAGAAAGCTTGACCATGGCTGTGTGGTTATTTGGTGCATTATCCAAAGTGAAATGACTGATCTAGACTAAGTCAGAATATGTTACATGGTGCGATTAATCACTAACCTTGTCTGTCACTTCTGCACAATCCAGAAGCCCTAATATAACTACAGCGAGTGACACTCCATCATAAGAACCAGGAATATGGCTAAAAGCCAGAAGTCCAGCCTCAAGAATGAGCTTTGACCCATGTTGGGCAATCCAGTGAGCTATCAATGCAATGAACAGATGGTGATTTTCATCTGACCAGAGATCAGAAGTAAACAATATCTTTCCCTCTGCTTTCTGGAAGAATGTCAGATAATTTACAAGATCAAATGGTTGTACACTTACAGCCAGATCTTGCTTTAAAACATCAAAATATTGATACCATGTTTCTACTATCAGTTTGTGTAGTTTCATCTGATGAGGAATGTCACACTCCCATAGGTCTTTCTGCAGAAGTCAAAGTAACTGATGGAACTCAAGGCATTCAATCACATTCATCACCTAAAGACAACAATTAATAACCATTTTAGAGAGTGAATAAGTAAGTACACACCTGGTTGTTGACCACAATGAATTTGATGAGTTGTCTATGCATTTCCTCAATAGTAAAATCTGGCATCTCATCTGCAAGTGCTAACACCCCTACCCTGGGCTGTGAAGCAAGACCTCCACCACTGGGGGGGGGACAAAATGACTCAAGAAGCTTGTCCAGGTACTGGTCAAGCTCTTGACCTATCTGTGTGAGAGTCCACCCTCTATCAAGAAGATCCCAAACTTCTTTTGCCTCAACTTTTAGATTGTGTTGCTCAATTGCAGTTATATAAACATGCAGGTGAATTTTGAGCAGATACCTGTGAAGAGTGCCTGTGGTAGTCGATGAGCTGTATTCAGCAATATTATATGATGGATCTTCTTTCTGTATGTCCCTGGCAAATGATGTGAGAAAGAGAAAAATAAAGACTCAAAGATAATACTCACATACAGGGTGTACATAGGCTCTGCCCTGATGTCATGTCTTTGGTGAAAAAATGATGAACCTCCAATCCTAGCTGTTTTGCTTGATGCCCTGTGGCCAATGTTACGAACTAGGATAGTCGCAACAACAGTTACTCAATAAGAGCAACGACTGAAGTTGAATCAAGCCTTACAAATGTAAGGGTTCGTAAGACAAAGTGAAGAGAGTGTCTTTGCTTTGAATATCTATCTTAGACGACTTAGGATTGGAGGTCCTAAGCAAAAGAATGTTCAGGTGAAAACCTAGTAAGATTAAAGTAAAGATCTACTAAGTACATGACTGAGTATATATAGAATGTAAGTGCTTTAGGGCAGGTACATATACGTTAGCAATGAGTCAGAGATAAGAATGAGTCATCTAGCAATGGCAACGGCGATTGTGATGTAGTACAAATATAGCAGAAGGTAAGCCTAGTGATGGCACAGGGTGGTGTGGTCATGATGTAATACAAAAGGAAAATGAGGAAAATGAATAGGGGCAAGCGTAACTGTAACAGCCAATGGATTGGATCAGGTTGAATCAGCACCTGTTTGTGTTTTAAGTGGGCTGGGGACTGTGCAGACCACTTCTACTGGGGTGAGTAGGTCACCATCCTCTTCTTCATTGACATCATCAATAACATCAACATCAATGAGCTTGCCATTGTCTGCTGCATGGCTTGGACCAGCCCTATGAGCTGTACTGCCTTGAAGCCTTGTGGCAGGCCATTGATTTCTGTGAGGATTCTGGAGAGTTGCAGTCACTGCAACACAGGGAGCTGCAGTGAGGGTGGGTGCAGTAGGGGGAGCTTCAGCAGCAGAGGATAAAGTCTGGGGTGTGTTTACAGGATGTTGACGAGGTGGTGTGGTCAGAATTTGTGAATCCAGTGAGTGAATTACTGTTCTATATAAATCAGTGTTCTGTGAGTCCCAGAAAATGCAGCAGTGCAGTACTGACTCACCTGACAGTAAAGCCCAAAGAATAGTGCTGCCTACATGTAATCATGTCTTGACAATTTGAGGGTATGTTAACTGCTGCAGATTAGCAAAGAAGATGTGGCTAGAGCCTCAGGCCTCAAGGTTCATGGTGATCAATCAACCCCAAAATGTTGCAGGGTATTGCCTAACAGACGTTTCATAGATTGAATGCTCAAGGTGTGGGGTGTGGTGCCCTGGACATGCACCTCAAAGTGCTATTCTAAAAGAGTGATTGTATAAATTAGCTGCTAGGAGCTTCTTAAATGAGAGTCAGAAAGACTGTACCTGTACAGATGACATTCAGCAGTGTGCCCTTGTTCAATTTCCTGCTGTGCCCATGCATGCAGGTCATGTGCTCAAGTAGGATCCAGTTGGTTAGTGATCTGAGGCTGCTTGCAAGTAGGAACACTGGTTGAAACCAGGGCAGGTTGAACCACAGAAGGAGGTTGGGTCGCAAAGGGAAGTTCAAGGGGCACTCACAAAGGCATAGCAACTTGCTGTGGTGCAACTGGACCAGGTAGTGCAGGCCCCAGTAGCTCATGGATGGAAGGGACATGTAAGGGAGCACCCAGTTGGGCAGCCATGGATGTCTGGAGGGCTTGGTGGAGCTCTTCAAATCCATTCCCCTCATTATCAAGTATGTAGTCCAGTGGTCAGCCTGCGCAAACTCAAACTCATGGTCATGGTCCATCCCATCCACATTTTTACAGTCCTTGGTACCTTTAGTGTGAATCACACATCCACCCTCACCTTCACAGTGCTTTAGGCACATGTAATGTGTACAATGCAATGCCCAAGGCTTGTGGCAGAAGGGACCCTCACATGGTGAGCCCTTCCTGCACAACCACTTCCCATTCAATGGAGGGAGAGGAGATGAGGGTGCCAGCTGTGTCCAAGGATGATGGCAGCATATTTGGTGGCACACTTGGAATTGTTGGTGACTTGCTGGAGGAGGGTATGGTGGCAAGAATATTAGGGTATCACAGCAGCTTGGGGAAGAACTTGAAGAAATTACACTGTGGGTGCTGGTGGAGGGATGTTAATATGGTACTATACCATAAATTGATGGACACTTACCCTCACCATTGGCTTCCCAGCATTGCTATTTCTGTCACTCTGACAGATTGTGAGTGAGACAGCAAGACCACAGTAAGTGCAGTCAACCATGAGTCTGATTGATGACATCCGCAGGATGGCACCTGGAATATTTGGCAGCTGTAAAGCTGCAGCCAACAACATATTGTCTATGGGCACAGTGGGCAATGTGAAAGGTAGTGGGACAAACAGTTAAGGAAGGTGGCAGTAGAGGCTGATAGTGGGGGATGGAGAGAGAGGCTGACAGTGGGGTAGGTGAGGCTGACAGCAGGAATAGCTAGAGTGGGGATGGCCAGGACAGCAGGCAAAGCTGACAGTGGGATAGATAGCACATCAATATGACATAATCTGGTGGCTTTGACAGACCACTTGGCATTTTGTGGACAACTGCTAACAGAAGTCCCCCATACCTTTGACATGGGGTCTGCATAGACCTTATGTGGACCGGCCAAATCCCGCATTTTCTGGTTTGAATGCAAGATTGAGATTTCAGTTGCAAGACAGCACTTGGAGATTACCAATCCCAATTCCCGATGAAGGAAGTTTAACTATCTTCCTTTTGAGTCAATATTACCAGGTCTGACTATGTATGCAAGGCTAGTACCTCTACAACCTGCCTCCATCATTTTTCTGGAAATCTACCAGCTAGGCTACTGCTGAGCAAGACATTACTGGTGTGCTGCCTGCACAAATTCCATGTCCTTGGTTTCCACATTGAATCAGCAATCTTTTTTGATTCGCCAACATACATTATAGATGGGGAATACTACCAACAGCATGTAGCACTATGATGAGATGTTTCTCCTTGAACTTTAGCCATATGTACAGTGGAACCATCAAACTATGTCACGACTTTCGTACCCTGCCTATGAAATTGCTGGGCATGATGAAAATCTGACAACAAGTTTGTTGTCCATTTGACTGATCTCACTCTCAGTAACTCACAATATTTACTGGTTCAAGTAGATCATTTAAATACAATTGCCTTATATCAGCCTGTATGATCAGATATCAAGCTTCCTGCATTTTGATGTGGTCATACAGGATTCTTTTATCCTATGTGCGAAGTTCTCTTTCGACCTGCGGATGTCGTATATCCAATATCTATCAATCATGGATCATGGAACAGGATGTCTTTGAGGTTCACTTCAATGCAATTTAAGAACACAAATGGGAATTATTGATTACTGACTATGAGACAAATGAGAAGTGAACAGGGAAGGTAAGGATTGGTGATGGGTTTTCAGGCAAAGGCGTGTAGCACTTTCTGGCCCCAGGGAAAAGGACTTAGCCTAGGATAGTCGAGCTGCAATTCCCAGGTGCTAGGAGTTCGGTGATGCATCAAGTGAGACTGAGTTAGGTTCCCAAATTGTAGGAGGCGGACGAGGTACTCATGTGTAGGATTCTTGTCTTTGAGTTTCATCCTAGTGTGCTGGTGGTATGGTACAATGAAGGAATTCATCATGCAAGGTGGGGATAGCTTGCATGTTGGGTGCCATAATTTGAGCATGTTTCCTTAGGTACGCAAGGAACGTGTCACTTGCCCATCGGCCCTTCACTTTGATGACATTGAAAGGGATGTTTCGCAGCAAGTACTCTAAGGTGGAACCAATACAGATTCCATGTCCCTGTAGAGGCTTGCGGCCTGCCGCTTTCATTGCAGAGGCTAGCCTGCTGAGAAATTTCGTTTTCGTGAGAGGTCAGTGGGTGTTGTCTTTGTGCCGATATGCGACAAGAGCGAAGTTGATTGGGGGTTTGTTGACTCACAGGTGGTTCAAGAAGGCTTCTTCTGAGTCTGACAAGCCTGCCTGCTTGGCCCAGTGAACATCTTCGCCCTCTGGGGCAGACTTTGTTCGGGGTAGATGGAAGTTCTTGGTTGTGAGGTTCTGTCAATCTCGCATGTCTTTGACGCAGTTAAGTGAGACATGAAGGTTCAGATCGAAAGCATTCAGATGGGGGACAGTGAATTCTCCAACTCTGGCCGTAGCGTAGAAGGTGGTGGTGAGACAGGCAAAAACTGAGGCATCTAATGGATTATCTAAATTGAGTTTCTCCTGTATGGCAATGATGAGATCTGTGGTATATGGTTCGCGTTTGCTGCATTTGGCATTGACAGGGGTTAGAGAAACAGCTGCTTTTAGCATGGCATCTATTTCAGCGTCATTGAGCGACCAGTCTGCGCCATGCACGATGTGCCATGCGCGGACTCCATTGATGTAGTTAGATACCATTTTCCCTGAATAATTACTGACCATGCATGAAATGAATGTTTCAATCAATATGTTGCTTGCTGGGGCTCTCTGCTCCTCTGGGATGGTCTTGCTATCGCAAAATATGTGGAATACGAGTAGCCTGGATCCATAAGTTTCATGAGTGCTTTCTGCATAAGCGTGAACCATCACATCCCAGATTCATTCTATGTCAGTAGCACTCAGGGGGAGGTGTTTGCCTTGTGTGTCTTTCAACGAACATTTCATTATTGGCTGCCATAGGTAGAGTCTGTCTTTTGCGGGACAGTGTGGGTGTAGATGGCATGGGTTGGGGGTTAGGCTCGCATTATAGGCTGTGTCCCTGGTTAAGGTCAGGCTCTTGATTGTGTAGCGTCACTTACTAGCTTTCCAACACTTCGAAGAGCCTGTCTCCTTCAGATTCAAGTCTGTGGTTGACGCAATCTCGGCGTTGGAATTCCCTCTCTCCATGTCTCTCGCCCATTGTGCGAAATGGTTCAATGGGATGGGTGTGGACGCGGGTGCTTCAGGTTGGTTTGTTTGAAGGAGGAAGGGGGGATTCAGAGGCTTCTGCGAGGAAGGGGAGTAGTTCTGGTGGGATTGGGATGGGAGGGAGCTTGTCACATGCGGGGGGATATATTCTGTGTGAAGGGCCATCTGTGGGGTTCTCTTTGCTTGGTACATACCGTGTAAGAATCTTGCATTTGGTATCGGCAGCAATCCAATGAATTCATTTGAAGACCTCGTTGCATGACTGACTTCTGCTGCAGCCTTTCCACCATCCTTCCACAACTCCCCGGTTGTCGCCATAGACTTTGAAATAAGTTCCAGGGGGACAAGACCTTGTGACTGCCTGCACCAAGAGCTCAAATCCAACACTTTCTGCCCACCCAATGTCACAACCATCTCTCTTCCAACCAGGTAGGAGTTTCCAGGCGCGCCACTTGCCATTGATGATGATACCAATCCCATAGCCAGAGCTAGCATCCGAATAGGCATTGAAGTCGTATATGACGCATGGTCCTGGGATTGGCTGGGTGACATGGGTGGAGCTGAAGGTGCTTTTCCACCACTCAATGTCATCTGGGGTGTTGTGAGGGGGGGTTCTGGCCATGTGTGGGTGGTCTTTGAAAATGCACAGCATTTTTTCCAAGCTCATAAGGTACACACAGCCAGCTGGTGTGATAAGCGATGTGTGTAAGAGTTTACCATAGAGTTTTTGGACTTCTTGCAGAGTATGGGTCCTCTTGGACTGCCACAGTCTGATGGCCTCAAGGTACTTGGTGCATTTCTCATTTGACAATGCAACCGTTCATTCGGTGATGTCCCATACCAGACCAATGTACAGAGGTTCATTACTGAATGGTTTATCTTTCGACAACTCCCAGATGATCCCCATAAGGACGGAAAAGAAGTCAATGTCCTCCATGCCATGTGTGAATTGTGCCTCTTCAGCTGAATGTGGTGACCTGCCCGAGAGGTCTTGGATGGGGGAATGAGCGTCTTCGTCAAATTCCCCGTGTGATCCATCTGGTAGAGTTTCTCCCCTGTACCATCTATGTCCCCCACTTGTGATGATACTTCCGTTCTTTGTGATCTCATCAGCCCATAGTCTCCGTTTCCTATTGTACTCCTCCATGTATTTCTTCTTAATTCGAAAAAATAGGTGGTCATCAACCCATTTTGACAGAGGGCCAATGCCTTTGGATTGGAAAATGTCTGCACCAGCATCAGCCACATTGCCGTATATGCCAGCTGATGGCCCGAAACCAAAACAGAATGCTGTATCAATGGCAAATGCATCTTCATCCAGCCGTATTGCCAGACCTGGCCATTGGGAGTGATGGAGCGGGATTGTTCTGTAAGCTTCAGAAATGTCACAGACAGCTCCTTGAGAGCCTGGGGGAAGGTGCCATATTGTTCAGCAGATGGTTGAGAAGGTCCCATATGTGCAAGGAAAGAGGTCAGAGTCGACCTTTGAATTAATAGAGCTAATAGTAGGGGGAATAGGATTGATAGGATAAGATAGATTTTGTACCAGGTGAAAGTTCCCTGGTTTGCCAGGTTTCAGAACGAGTGACAATGGAGCTGTTTGGAAATTTCCAATGGCCGATTTGAGATCCTTAGCTGTGAATGGGCCAATGAAACAGCCCTTTGAAAATTCACACTCAACAATTTTCTGAAAGACTTCTTTGTGCTCGTTGATAGATGTGCTATTAGAGGGCGTGTATGTACATGTAATTGGGGGTATGCCCCCAGAGAAACCATAGACAAGTCCATCTGTGATGGACAGATATTTATTGAGCAGATTCAACTCTGCCAGCAAGCGATGCCAACTCTCTGGGTTATACAGCGTGTGCGCCTTAACTCTTCTCGCTGCGAGGGCAAGATTGAGCTCCATGCTCCTTGCTTCCGCAGCCTGAGCATTCATGTGGGGCCTTGTGGTTTGATATCTGGCAGCTCCCTGGGCACTGCCATTTGTAGCATATAGGGAGGCCTTGAGGGTTGATGAGGCGTCCGTCGTCTGCCCAATGGCAGTGAGTGTTGGTGCCATCCCATGTGGTTCGAGACTCGCAATGTTGGATGTTGTCAGCGAAGCAGCTGAGACAGAGGGCGCAGGCTGATCAACCGTAAGTGCCTGCGCCCCAAGAAAAACCCCCTTGCCTTTGTTGGCAGTTGTGGGATTTGTCTGGTGAGGACAGTTTGCTCCTCTGGTTGTCTGACCTTCGTGCTGGAGAACACGACCATGAGGTGCAGTTGCACTGGTCATTGTTGCCCCCGCAAAAGTCCCGGTAGCTGGACTTCCAGTATTGATTTGAGGGCGTCTCTCTGCTCGAGTGCTGCATGGTGACGTGGGTGTGTGCATCCATGTTAAGTTGTGGGCATCCACGTTATGGTTGTGGGCATCCGCATCAAGTGTGCGGGCATCCATGCGAATGGGTACGAGCATCCACGGGAAAATGTTGCAGGCATCCGTGGGATCAACGTTGCGGGCATCCATGTCAAACAGGGATGTTATTCATTGTGTGTGGAATTTGGAAGGGGGAGAAAGGTTCATAGATTAGCAGGTCTGTTTGATATTGATTTTAGACTGGGTACATACGATGTTCGATGTGCAAGAGCGAACTTTATCCCACAACTCCTCATTGATCGTCCAGATGAGGTTCTCATTGATGTTACCAATGTTGAAACCCTCATCACATTTGAGACAGTCATGCCAGTCTTGATGTACGCGCAATGCATATGTCAAGATCACCATGTCACCAATTTCACTGTTGTTTCGAATCGAGTGGTTCTCAAGGTGCCAGAAGAACAACAACAGTGCATCGATGTTTGGTTGGGGCCACTTGGCTTTGCTGATTTGAACAAGGAATAAGTTCTTTGCTCGGAGGAAAATCGAGAATGATAACTCATGGTCGGCCATGGCCACTTTTGACACTTTGAACGCTGAGGTGGGCCATAGCGTGAGTTGGTCATCCGTCCTCGTTATGCTCATGTCGTTGTCGGCCACTGAGTGTGAAGACTTGAGAGCATCTTTGCACCCTTCCAGCAAGAAGTACCATAGCTCTACATATTCAAAATTGGTGAGTTTCTGAATTGCATATTGAGCAGGACAGGGAGTCAGGTAATCTCCTACAGATGATGCGTGCTCAAAGCCATTCATCTTTGGCTTCTTCTTTTCAGCTTCTGTCCGCTCCCTCTCTGCTTCGGCTTCCCGCTGGATGCGCTCTTCATTCTCCTGCACAGTTCATGCCCTTTCTGCTTCTGCAAGGACTCTAGCTTCTGCTTCTCGGTCTTGGTTCCATTCCACTACTCTTGCGTTGTGGTCTGCGTTCCATGTCTCCATGAGACAAGCTATGACTTCTTCTCCGGTCTGGTTTGTGGCAGCTTTGAGGTCTGTGCGAATGCCTGCGTACAGGTTACTGGCGAAATCTGGTACCATTTCGAGGTTTGGGTCGACGACTAGAGCCATTGTATTTTTTTTAAAATTAGATAGGAATAAGATTGTGTAGATTTTAAAGAAGGTTTCTGGTGTGGAAAGAAAAGAAAGCGAGCAGAGTGAGCTATGCAGCGACGAACCGTGATCGCGGCACGAAAGCAAGAAGCTTGGTGCCGCATCTCTTGTTTGCTCAAAGACCTTACTCTATTTTTTCATTCGTGCCTCTTTACATAATAGAGTGACAATATCTGGCAGTGCAGTACATCACCATCGCATCAAGTGCATGATGCATCGGATATAGTGCGCTTTGCATTGGATTCACTCAATGCTTTGTTCATTGTTTTTGTACCATAGCCCAATGATGGCGGTGTACAAGGCCACGGGTAGTAAGTAATCATATTTGTTCTGCCTCAGCCCAAGTACTCTGTTTCTTGTCTGACTGCTCTGGTGCCATGTTACAGAATGGGACCTTGTTAAGAGTCATCAGTGGAGCTGTTACGGCTCAGGCTCAACCAGCATAACAGAGAGAGTGCAAACCTTGTTTATGATGCTTACACCTGTATTAGATCGATGACTACATCATTTCATACGGAGCGCCTCAATTGATGCAAGTGCGGCAAGAACACCCCAAAAGTGGCATTGTAAACAAGTCGCCGATATACACCGTTCAAACATTCCTGATTTTCAAAATTTTCACGTGCATGATAAGGACTGGTTTGCAGATCAAGATCTACTTTGATTCCATTAACGATTTTTGCTTGATTTCAGATCACAATCCGTACTTCAACCAATCAGCGGTATTGAGGCAGGAATAGATGTCCATCTCCATCATGCCGATTGTGAGGATCAAAGCATTGAATGGAGATATATCTAGCACGAACGCTAATGTTATACACCCACCAACATTCCCCACTCACTCACACTCATCCCTCGAATATGACTGGAGTCTCAAATGATCCCATTTGGTGGCCATACATCAGTTTGAATTTGTTTTACAGCTATTGGACAGGTTCGTCGTACCAGTTCATAATGTCTCTCGATCTAACATTGACTTGCGGTTTCGCAGTTGCCGCAGGCGTGGTGGTGGTATATGATTGGGGTGAGCAGGACAGTGTTCGAAAACCACCGTTATTCTCATGATATTTCCAGTAATCACACTCAGACAAGAGGTAGGTCGATGATATCGCCAGAACAGCCAACTCACTAAGAATGGTATCATAGATTGAACTGATCTGGGTAAGTGGCAGAGTCTCATACCATCATAGGAAATAACAGAAGATCACAATGGTTTCGCGACAGAGGCAACGCTGGTCTCTCATGACCATGCTGTATCTTGTTGTTCGTACTACATATTATGCTATGGCATAGTTGGCAGTTGTGCTGACTCCAAAACTTTCTAGATATGCTATATTGGACTACCATATTCTGTGTAAGTTTCGAAGGCCAATGAATTGGCGCTGCACTAATGCCCATCTATCATGATCAGTATCATCGTTCTGCGTATGTTTTATATGCGCTGTGTTCGATTCTTCTGACTAGTGGCATACAGCAAATATGCCATTGGTCTCACTGACAGATACAGTGAGTATTCCGCAACCATCTCATTCCCATCCAATGAATACGCTCATTTGTAGGGGTGAGTGAGATTCTGACCATTGAACTTGGCTCAATATAATGACTCGATGAATCGATAGGTGTGAGTCAGAATGTTTGATCCAAGTACAAGGGCGATCACTAATTGGGTGTTTCAGGCATTATTGTGGACTACGCAGCAAGTGGGACAACTGGGGTCGTAGCTGCCATGTTGGGCGGTGAGTCGCCCAGCTGCAATACCTCATTGATATTGACTCAACTGAAACATGATGCAAGTTATCATGATTGCACGGTTACATGCCATGTATCAGAGATCTAGAATGATGTTTATCTTTCTTGTCATTGTCTTCTTGGCTGTTAACATCACCTGCGGAGTAACAACGGCAATAGCACTCAAGCGCACCACAGCGGGTAAGCTCTACTCATTGACTTGAAGAACACAACTCATTGGATGAACACCAGAGGAGTTCATACTCTCTGGCACACATATGTGCACTTTTGAATATGAGGGGGATATCCAACTTCTGAGTTCAATGACTTGGATGCTCGACACTGTTTGGGAGATCCTCGCACTGTGTCTTTCAGTCTGGATTGCTGTAAAACACTTCCGTGACCTGCGACGACTCGGCCCATCGACAGGATTGACCATTGGGGACTGTTTCAGAGTGCTGACAAAATCTCACGTGCTTTACTTTACAAGGTGAGTTTGTAATGCGAATGCAGCTATCTTTTACTGCTCAAGTTCCGCACGTGCTAGCTTTGTTTGTGTCTCTTGCCTCCAGCTTAGTCTCATCTCTCCAGAGCTCGTGGTGCGTCGACCTGTCGCTAACACCTGCTTGTAGCCACTGCTCATCATTTCTGTAGAATGCATACTCTATAGGGGCTCAGGTACTCTATGGTACTTGTCAGATTCTAGGGGTCGTACAGATGTTTGTGCTAGGACCACACCTCATCCTTAGCGTTCGAGAATACCATGCTAAGCTCGTGGCCGAATCTGACGCAGAAACTAGCATGAATTCGATTGTCTTCCAGGAGCGTGTACATGTACCAACTGGCAGTACTGTGTAGGGACATGCTTTCTGAGTGTTTTGCATGGAAGAGATATCAGGTCGAGGATCCGTCAGAGCATTATTTAACATATGGTTTCTCAAAGTATCTTTAAGACAAGGTTTATGTAGAATTCATTTCTTGTTGTATCACTACTGGGACTTAGTAAACTCTCCAGCCACACTTTCAAGTAACAAGCTGAGATTATCAGGAACGTCTATTAAGCAACTCAGTCCTCGATGCCCGATACTGAAACACAAGGAGAACTGGTATAAGTTGCTCGGATGGTTTATTCTGCGCGTTTTGGAAGTTCCGTTATCTCAGCACACAGATGATGAAAAAGTGACCGTGAAGCGTGAAGCCCAGATTATGGATAATTCATTGGTGCTCAGATGTATTTTCATTCATCAGGGCCACAGGAATGGAAAAGGAATGAATCGTGCGGACCATGGCTTGACTGCATGCCTCTATCATGAATAAGCATAACAAGTTGGGCACTCGAGATGCGATTGGGACACTGGGCGTCCCCTAGACTAGACTGTAATGTCCCACATAGAGGACTTCTCTGCAAAGGACAGAAATTGGATTCAAAAAAAAAAAGCATAACAAGGACAAGAGGTGCTGAGCAAGGAGTGGAGAAATAGAGAATGGGAGCTTCAATTCAGAAGGCCTCGAGTACACCTGTCAAACTATTAACGAGGCATCGACCACGATATTCTGAAACTTATTCGTACCTACATTATCGGAGTCGCGCCATCATAGCGTTGCGTGCATGTGGCTGCAAACTGTGCGTCGGGTTTGCGTCCTTGCAGCGATCTGTTGGAGCCCATCCTGCTATACACGAATGTCAGAGTCAAGTACCGAACGAATAGAAAGTAGACATAGCGTGTCTGAGCCCAGATAGCTGACAGTACAAGGGTTCCGCAGCATAGCGACTCTCGCCTTCTCATGAATTAGTATCTCTTTGAACACACAGGAGAGATAAGTGACGTGGGCAAGGGATAATCTTGCAATGAATACTAGGTCATCGTGATCATGATACAGCGATCGTTCACCAGGCCCAAAGTACGGTGATTTTGAATTTGGTGGTCAGAGAGGACAATCATAATTTTGGATGCAGAAGTGAATATGAAGGTGGAGAACGGGGAAGAAGAAACCCACTTGTGAGTGACTGGTGATATAGATATGCGGAACGAATCAGCGCAGGATTGGAGGACTCGAAATCAGGATCGGGAATCAGATCCCCGATTTTGCCATTCTAACTTTTTGCGGCTGACTTCTATCTGATTTATTCGAGTTGATCTAGATCGAGGGAATTCTCAGCGACGCAGAGTTTGGCTTAGAACCTACACGGTTGGCTCCAGGCATGCCTGCCCGGACCGGGTCTGTTAGATGTATCGGTAGCAACACTTTTCAGTTCAGATTCTCGTCCTCCTTGATCAACGCAAGTGAGGCAAGAAAAAATGGCACAAGTGTGAGTTCCGGAACGGCCTTTCAAGTATAGTATACTACTTTCAAAAGGTACTGAGTGTAGCCGCCGCACCGTGACGCCGGTCGTGATGCGACTGCTGTGACGCACCCGTGACGCGGCTAAAAATATCGTGTTAAGCTTGAAGATCTCCTGATCCGAGATAGTCTTTACCATTATAAACTACTGCGACAGTCCCAGCTCAACTTATCATAACTACATTGAGGCTCTTCCTGTCCTCGTGATGATCTTGTAGCTTAAATTAAACCACCTAATATGAGACGCTTCAAGTTTAATCACAAATATTGAAACCAAGTACGTATGTTAAAATATCGTGTTCGGCGCCTTGTTGATACTTTCCCAGGTACGCTTGCTGTCTCCCGACTTGAAGCTTGAAGCCCCGGTTCTCTTCTCTACTCCCCGCTCAGGGCCAAGCGTATCATTTGGACCGAGGTATATACTCCCCCCGTAAGTCTCTTTTCAAACCGGCATGCTTGATATCGTTCAATCTTGCTTGAACAGACGTCACTCAGCAATATCGTGCCTACTTTCGCCCTTCACGTACGATTCGTCGCTACTTCTCTGCTGCCAAGATGAATATGAGGTGGGCATGCGTCTGGCTGGTTCTGCTCTTATCTACGACCGTCTGAAAGTCTAGACAAATTGTTTTCAAGTATTTCGCGGGCTTATAGAATTTCTGGTCTATCACTGACTATCAGCTGTCTAGACTTAGACACACTACTACCGACATACTTAGGCCAGCAGATAATCACGTGGAGCGATGCATTGTCTTTCGGGTGATCATCGATCATGTGCTGGTCCTAGCAAGCACTCAAATCTGACACATAATTTGCAGTCACATGCACACAACGCTATGATGACGCGATTCCGATCGCATATGTATGAATGAAATTTCAGAATATCGTTGTTGATAGTTCATTTATAGTTTGACAAGTGTACTTGTGGTCTTCTGAATTGAAGCTCTCATTCTTTATTTCTCCACTCCCCGCTCAGCACACCTCTTTCCTTACCATGCTTATTCGTGATACAGGCATACAGTGAAGCCATGAATCCGCGCGGTTCATTCCTGTCCTTCTCTGTGGCTTTGATGAATGAAAACGCATTTGATCACAAATGAAATATCAGCTATCTGGGCTTCACGCTTCATGGTCACTTCATCTGTACTCAGACAACGGAACTCCGCAAACGCGTAGAATAAACTATCTGAGCTACTTATACTGATTCTCGGTGTATCTCAGTATCGGGCATCAAGGACGGGATTGGTTGATAGACATTCGGATAACTTCAGCTTGCCACTTGGTGTAAATGTAGCCGGGCAGTTCACATAGTGATACAATAAGAGATGGGTTTGGCTACATAAATAAACCTCATCTTAAACGTACTTTGAAACGTTCATAACTTGAATAAATACCATACCGTATCCTCTACCTAATATCTCCTCCCTGCGGAATACTCGGCAAACATTTCCCTACACGGTACTGCTAGTTGGTACATGTACACGCTCCTCGAATATGATCGTAGCCATGCTAGTTTCTGCGTCGGAGTTGGCTACGAGTTTTGCGTGAAATTCTCGAACGCTAAGGATGAGGCGTGGTCCCAGCACAAACATCTGCACGCCCAAGAAAACGTCAAAAGCACCATCAAGTATCTGAGCTCCCTTCGAATATGCATCCTACAGAAATGGTGAGCAGTGATTGCAAGTAGATGTCAGTGACAAATTGGCGCACCAAGAGCCCTAGAGACAGATAAGCAAGCTGGAGGCAAGAGACACCAACAAAGCTAATACGCGCGGAAGTTGAGCAGAAAAGATAACCACGTTCACATTACGAGCTCACCTTGCAAAATAAAGCACGTGAGATTTTATCAATACTCTGAAACAGTCCCCAATGGTCGATGATCCAAGTCGTCGCAAGTCACGGAAGTGTTTCACAGCAATCCAGACTGCAAGACACAGTGCGAGGACCTCCCAAACTGTGTTGAGCATCCAAACCATCGAGGCCAGAAGCTGGGCATCCCCCTCAGATCCAAAATCGCACATATGCATACCAGAGAGTATCAGCTCCCCTGGTGTTTGTCTAATGAGCCGTGTTCTTCGCGTCAACAAGTAAAACTCACCCCCTACGAGATGCTCCAGTCCTATTACCGTGATTACTCCGCAGGTAATGTTAACAGCCAGGAAAATAATAACAAGGAAGATAAGCATTTTTCTAGATCGCTGATACATGACATGTAACCGAGCAATCATGATGACTTGCATCGTGATCCAGCCAAGTCAATATCATAGAGGTATTGCAGCTGGGTAACTCACCACCCAACAAGGCAGCTATGACCACATTGATCCCATTCATTGTGTAGGCCATAATATTGCCTGAAACGCCTAATTAGTGGTCGCCCTCATACCAGGCTCAAACGCTCCGACTCACACCTATTGGGTCGTTATGTTGAGCTAAGTTCAATGGTCGGAATCTCACTCACCCCTACAAAATGAGTGTACCCATTGAATAGGAATTTGATGGTTGCGGAATACTCACTGCATCTGTCAGCGAGACCATTGGCATATATGCTGTGCGCCGTCGGTCAGAAGAAAGGAACACAACACACATAAGACATACGCAGAATGCTGATGCTGATCATGAGAGATGAGCTATTAGCATATCGCCAATACGTTGCTCTCTGAAACATACACAGAATATGGTGGCCCAACATAGCGTATCTAGAACATTTTGAGTCAGCACAACTATAGCATAACATGGGGTACGAACAACGAAATACAGCAAGGTCATGAGGGACCAGCGTTGCCTCTATTGTGATCTCCCGTTATTTCTTTCAATAGTATGAGGCCTGGTTACTCACCCAGATCAGTTCAATCTATGATACCGTTGTTAGCGAATTGGCTACTCCGGCGATAGCATCAACATACCTCTTGTCCGAGTGTTAATACTGGAAATCTCATGAGGACATCAGCAGTTTTCGAACATTACCCTGCTCACCCCAATCGTATACTACCACAACGCCAGCAGCAACTGCGAAATCGTGAAATCGAGAGACATCACCAACTAACACGACGAACCAGTCCAATAACTGAAAAAAAGATTGACATCGATCATCGGCCACCAACTGGGATCATTTGACACTAGGGTCATATTGAGTTTGAGGGATGGGTGTGAGCCACCAGATGTTGGGGATGTTAATGTTTTAACAATAGCATTCGTGCTTGATATACCACCGTTCAGCGCTTTGCATCGCCAACATCAGCATGACGACTCACCATTAAGAGCCAGTTCAGCAGCCGAAATTTACGAATGTTTGGGATGTGTACAGAATATAAGAACATTTCTTTCACTGTGCGGGATGTTGGAGGCACCATTTCCAGAACGTGCAAGGTATTATCTTGTAGTTTCAATAATCTACTCTAGATGTGCCATCGCATGCTTCGCAAATCCTCAGTATCGTTTGAAAGTCCGACTTGGTAACCATGGCTATGAACCAGGAAGTGAAGAGAAGCATTGCACAGCACAGATGGGCTATGCAGGGGTATATATATACAAGACGGCGCCCAAGGCCAATAGTTGCATTCACACTGAAGAATTCATCGATCATCCATTGCCCAAAGTCTTCACTGCTAAGTTCTCGGTACACTGAATTCTCATCTGGACTTCCGGTGCAGATGAACTGATGTTCGGTTTTACCAGGGGGCCTATCTTCAAATCACTGTCAGCGTTAATCGTATAGTACATTGGCACCAGGAGGTCTCACCTTCGCACCATTGAAAGTATCCATAGAATCCTTGCTCGTACTTGACCACTTCACGGTGTTGCTCACGGAGACATAGCCATGGCTTCTACATCAAGGGAGACAACTGCCAAGAAACGGATTCTGAAGCCATCAATGACTTTGAAGGGTCACGGAAAATGGATTCAATCCATATCCTACTATCCAGATGGCCAGCGAATGATCAGCGGATCTCGGGACAAGACTGCTCGGCAATGGGACCTGAAGACGGGCAAGGAGATTGAGGGAGCGGGGCATGTTTGCAAGCTGGAGGTATTTGCAGTGGCGGTATCGAGGGATGGTCGATGGTTTGTCACTGGTGGTGGAGATTGGAATAATGGGGAGCTGAAAGCCTGTGAGGTTGAGACGGGAATTGTGAAAACATTCGAAGGCCACTCACGGAAAATCAACTGCATTGATATCTCTGTAGACAACACGCTACTGGCGAGTGGGTCAAGAGATTGGACAGCCCGAATATGGAACTTGGACACTGGCAAACTCGTGGCCGGTCCATTTGATAGCATTGGTCATGTGGGCGCAGTTCGATTCTCCCCAGACTCAAAGAAGCTCGCAGTCCAGTCATATTGGGGGACGTGCCTCGAGGTTTGGGATCTCAAATCACAGAAATTGGATGTGAGGAAAGGGCAATCTGTTATCAGAGGACACAACACAACTGCGCCATTGTTTTGGACAAACAAAAACATCATAGCAGCATTCAGTTTCACCACGGATTACCATGACCTCGCCAGGACTATCTACGAGTTCGACAGGTCAACGCTGGAGACCGCCAAGACGATCTACGAATTTGATGCGTCGATGCTGGAGACCGTCGGAACTCCCTTCGAAGGGCACACCTCGACTGTCACAGGTCTAGCACTTTCACTTGACGGCACTCTCCTTGCTAGCGCTTCCTACGACAACACCATCAAGCTCTGGGCTTTCGAGTCTCGCCAGCTCCTCGCTTCCTTCAACGCTTATATCCATGCCCTTGTCCTTTCACCCGACTCACGCCAACTAGCTTACACAACATCCACCGACAACGATCACATCTACATATGCGATATTCCATTCGACATCCTCGCTCAGGTTAGCGTATCACTCCCCGCGGACATTTTCTTACAGACCAATGCATGCAAGGAGTCAGCTCGTAGCATTCTACCACCTCCCCCTACCAGTTTCGCCCCTCGTCATGCAGGGTCCAAATCCTGGACTGACAGACATGCCGGAACTTCTCACACACAGCCTACTAAGGTGCAGTTATCGTCTGCTACGATGTGGGGGCAACACTATGAACTGGGATTCCAGCCACTGCGCCAGGACACACTGCATTCCAACAAAAGACCCATGGCAGATCTCCAAAGTACAACTATATCGCCTGTCATAGGTCTTCCCCCTCCATCGCAGATACCCTCCTCTACACTAGGTTCACGGCCACTCCAGTCGCACCCCGACCCCCGCGAACTCCTTCCCTCCTCTTCCTACACGCATACGGTCTTTTCAACTCGTAATGTTGGATCTGGCAATCTCCCCCTTGAAGCAACGCTCCAAGACCTCTCAAAATATATCACCAAGGATGGAGACTACCCTATTGCTCGTGGCGGGTTCGGGGAGATCTGGAAATGCACACTTTACAAAGATCGTAACTCAGTCAATGTTCGTTTGGTGTCTTTTGTTTGTCCATCTGCATGAAATTGATCATCATGCAGGTCGCAGTGAAATCATTGCAGGTGTACGCTGATGATCATTTTGGGGCAGCGAAGACAAAAAAGATCAAGGTGGGTATCTTATCGAGGGGCTTTGTCTATTGCTTACACTAGGGGGCGCTGCTTCATAGAGGATAAAGCGTGAACTCAGGATATGTGCAAACCTCAACCATCCAAATATTTTGCCTGTTTTTGGTTATACGTGTGGCTTCGGCCCATTTATAGCAATAGTCAGTCCTTGGGCGGACAACGGTAACTTGACGGTCTATTTGGAGCGTGAGGGTGCAGATCTTACTCTCGTTAGACGATTTCAGCTGGCTAGTCCTCCATGTATTTTTAGGAGACAACAAAACTGACTGAAAACTTAGCTAAGAGATATCATAGCTGGTCTGCAATATCGTATGTGATAAACTTGCTTGTTGCTGGACCGAGCTATAACCACTCCTCATAGTTCACGCCAACAGTGTAATCCACGGTGACTTCAATGGGGTGAGTTCGATCTTCCTAATGGTTCCAATTTCATTGAGATGTGAGCTCCAGCCTAACGTGCTTATTTACGGTGATGGCACTGCGTGTGTTGCTGACTTTGGCCTTTCGTTGATGTATTCCGAGTTTATAAGCGCCTCTCAGGCTTCCTGGACGTCCACGCTCAAAGGCAACATGCGATGGATGGCTCCTGAGCTGCTTGGAGAGCGGGAGGATGGCTCTCAAGCTCGGCCAAGCGAGCAGAGTGACATGTATTCATTCGGCGGTATCATGCTGCAGGTACGTCTGGTTAATTTTGACCTCCCACTGATATCACAAGTTCCACTCGTAGGTCCTCACCAACAAAATACCCTATTATCACCTCACGAATGATGCCGCCATCATACTTTGCATAGCCAAGTCACAAACGCCTTCCAGATCTCGTTATCCTAAGCTCCCTGAACAATACTGGCAATTTATCGAGCAGTGTTGGTCTACTCGTCCTTCGGACCGTCCCTCGGCGGAGGGAGCCGACACCACGATCAGGAATGAATTTCACTCGCTGTCCAGACCTCATTGATTCTTGCACTGCCTCGGATTCAGACATATTTTTACAGCACAGCCAGATAGATAAACCTAGGTATACCTGTATAGTAAACGTGGGCTCACCCCAGGATATTAGAGCGCACCTGTGCCGCAACGCGGCAACGTCAGTTGCACAGTTATTGGAATCGGAAGAATCATTGGAATTGATGAAAGAATTATCCTGTTCACGAATTCTGCGACGACCTACATGCAGGCGATCACTGGTCCGACTGACATCAGTGAATTGACGAGTCCTTGATATTGTATCCGTGAGAACGATAGAAGCACGTAATTATGCCCCCGGCGTATCTTTCGGACTATGTCGATTCATTAAAACATCGCGCGCTATGGTGAGATGCCTGCTCAGACTTGAGCTATATGTGCACGAGGCGGAAACGTGTAGCTTTTGTAGTCTGCCCACGAGTTCTTTACCCATCTGACGGATCTCGGTCTTACAGGACAGAACTTTACTGGAACATAATGACCATTGACACGAGCCTGAACAATCAGAAATCAGGCTTCCGGCGTGTTACAGGATTCTTGTCTCTCATATGCGATTTCTCTTCCGACCTTTGCATGGTTTCGTATAACGGCATTCAACTGATATCGATCATGATTCAGGATGTATCTGGCAATGCAATGCAATCACCATCGCATCAAGTGTACTGGAATCATGATGCATTGGATATAATGCGCTTTGTATCAGCATCACTCCACGCTAACCATATCTTTCTTTGTTTGAATATACTAGCTCAATGATCCAAGCGAATGAGACGACGAATAAAGTGAGTTATATTTACTCCGCTTCGACCCACTCCGTGTCATGGTTTCTTGTCTGACTTCTCTAGTGTTGTGCTGCAGAAAGCCTTGCTCCATACGAGGCATTGGAGGACGCCTCGGGCTCGGCTAGCAAGGCCAAAGAGACTGCACATGCTTGTTTCAATCACATCGCACTTAGACCTGTGTTAGATCGATGACTACACAATTTCATAAGGAACTCCTCGACTTTTACAAGCTTGCAACAGAAACACCCAGATAATGGTGTTGGAAATGAGTTGCCAACCTCATCAACGACTGGAGCTTTCCTGATGTTCAAGTAACCATGTGCTTAATACTGGTTTACAAGTCAAAAATATACTTTGATTCGATCGCGGGCTTTCTCTTTTCACCGATTCTGCACCGCAATACTTCTACCAATCAAGGGCCTTGCAGAGGTGGGTTCAGGTATCTATCTCCGTCATGCCGATTTGGCGATAGAAGCGCTGAACGACGGTATATCTAGCATGAACGCCATCGTTACACATCCCAACATCACCCACTCGTTCACACCCATCCCTTGAATATGACCGTGGTCTCAAATGATCCCAGTTGGTGGCCAGCAATCCATGCGAATATTTTTTTCACCTATTGGTTGAGTTCGTCGTCCGTTTGGTAGTGTCTCGATCTAACATTGACATGCGGTTTCGCAGTTGCCGCCGGCGTCGTGGTGGTATACGACTGGAGTGAGCAGGTCATTGTTCTGAAATTGCTGATATTCTTATGATATCTCTAGTACTGACACTCGGACAAGAGGTGGGTCGATGTCACCGCCGAAGTATCCAACTCGCTGAGAATGATGTTATAGATTGAACTGATCTGGGTAAGTTGATGTGACAGAATCCCATACCAGAAGAAGCTCAAGACGATACGAGACAGAGGCAGCGCTGGTCTTTCATGACTGTGCTGTATTTGGTTGTTCGTACCTCATGTTATACTATAGCATGATTGGCGGTTGTGCTGACTCCAAAGTGTTCTAGATACGTTATATTGGAATACCATGTACTGTGTATGTGCCGAGGTCAACAAATTGATACTGTGTTAATAGCTCATTTCTGACAATCAGTGCCAATGTTTTGCGTATGTCTCATATGCATTGTGTTTGATTCCTCTGACCGGCGGCACACAGCAAATCTACGATCGGTCTCCCTGTCAAATGCAGTGAGTATTCCGTAACAATTTCATTCTCATTCAATGAATACGCTCATATGTAGGGGTGAGTGAGATTCTAACCATTGAACTTAGCTCAACATGATGTCTCATTAGGTGTGAGTCGGAGCGTTTGATCCTAGTGCCAGGTAATTACTAATTGAGTGTTTCAGGCAATGTCATGAACTGCGTGCTAAATGGGACGAGTGTGGTCATAGTTGCTATGTTAGGCGGTGAGTTACCCAGCTGCAGTACCTCTGTGATATTGACTCGGCTGGATCCTGATACAAGTCATCATGATTGTTCGGTTATATGCTATGTATCAGAGACCTAGAGTGATGCTTATCTTTCTTGTTATTATCTTCCTGGCTGTCAACATTGCCTGCGGAGTAATCACGGCAATATCACTCAAGCATATGGTAGCGGGTAAGCCTTACTTGTGGACTTGAAGAACACGGCTCATTGGCGAATACCAGAGGAGCTGATACTCTCTGGCGCATATATGTGCAATTATGGATTTGAGGGGGATTCACAGCTTCTGATTTCAATGGTTTGGATGCTCAACACTGTATGGGAGGTTCTCGCACTGTGCCTTGCAGTCTGGATTGCTGTGAAGCAGTTCCGTTACCTGCGACGGCTCCGCCCATCGACAGGGTCGACCATCGGAAACTGTTTCAAAGTGCTGATAAAATCACACGTGCTTTATTTTGCAAGGTGAGCTTGTAACGTGAATATTATTATCTTTTTATGCTCAAGTTCCTCACGTGCTAGCTTTGTTTGTGTCTCTTGCCTCCAGCTTAGTGTTCTCTCTCCAGAGTTCGCTGTACGTCGACGTGTCATTGACATCTGCTTGTAGTCACTGCTCACCATTTCTGTAGAATTCACAGTCTATGGGAGCTCTGATACTCGACAGTGTTCTTCAAATTTTCTTCAGCGTGCAGATGTTTGTGCTGGGACCACGCCTCATCCTTAGCGTTCGAGAATATCACGCTGAGCTCGTGGCCGGCTCCGACGTAGAAAATAGCATGCCTTCAATCGTTTTCCAGGAGCGTGTACATGTACCAACTAGCAGTACTGTATAGGGAAATGCTTGCCGAGTGGTCAGGAGAAATTTGGCCGAGGATCCATTATGTTAGTTATTTATGTAGGTTGAAATCTGTCGTAGCATATTTAAGACGAGGTTTATGTAGACAAACCCCTTGATGCATCACTACTGGAACCCGGTGAACTGCCCGCTCACACTTGCGTCAAGTGGCAAGCTGGAATCATCCGGAGCGTCTAAAAACCAATCCAAATATTGATGCCAACACTGAAATACAACAAGAACCAGTACAAACCACCCAGATAGCTGATTCACGTCAGAGTCACACTGCAAAACATGCATCAGGGTCCTTGCAATGACCCGCCCAATGGAGTCCATTAAGCATGACCGTCAAAGTAAAGCGACGAACGAGATACGGACATGCATACTTGTTTGCATTGATCACTTGAATGAAGTGTCTGATAGAAGGTGAAAGATGGGGATGCATTCAAAGTTTTGAGGGAACATGAGAGGGTACCGTTAGAATGACCAATAAGGAATTCAACTTGTAGGTGCCAGTGACCAGTGATATATCGAACGAATCAACACAGGATGATCATGAGAAGAATCAAGTTCCGGGGAGCGGCTATGTATATGATAAACGATTCCAGGTATCGATGGAGGCGCAGGTGCATCGATGGCAGGAAGTTGTCTTTTATGGAAGGAAGGCTTGGATTCGAAGCGGGGGTGTTCGATTATGGACATTCCGCCTGACGGACAAAGTCCAACCGGTACCCCGCACTAAATGGAAGCATGGTGGATCAGAAGAATTGGATGATAGAATAGATGCCGGGGTAGGTAATTAAGACTTCAACTAGACAAATTGGAAGCTTTCGCGATGTCAAAGATACCAATCGTGGAATTCATGCGCTGGTTGATCAGATGAACATCAGCACAAGACGATATGGACGACGACATACGTAAATTTAGGACACGAACCGTGACGATGGCGGAACAATAAAGTATGTCGAGCAGGATCTGTCACATTTACATTTATCGGGAATCAGATCGCCGATTTTGCTGGAACTCCAATTGTTTTGCGGTCGCGCATTCATTTAATTTATCTAGATCGAGCGAATTCTCAGCGAATGCGACATGACAGAATTTGGCTTGGAATCTACAGGTTTGGTTCAAGGGCGTGCCTGGGCAGCGTTAGAGCGTCTCTGGATGGACTCCGTTGATGGCCCTTGTTCACGTGGTTTACCTTCGATGGCACTTTTAATTCGAGCCCTCCGGGCTGCAGAGAAGTAGTAACAGATTGTGCGTGAAGAGCGGGTGTAATGTGTAAAATTGGCCATCGGATATCCAGATCAGTTATCACTGAAATAGATCGACGGCAATCATCTGTGTCAAGCTTGTAAAACTCAACGATATCGAATGTGATCAGTTCAAAAAGGAAACTTACGGCTCGAGTATATGCCTCTATTACAAATGCGCGTGGCAAGGACATCGGGCGTGGTGAGTATGGAGTAGAGAAAAGAACCAGAGCTTCGAGTCAGAAAACACCAAGCGCACCCGCGAAAGTATCAGTAAGCTATCGACCACGAGATTCCGACATGCATGCATACATACATACATACATACATACAATACACCCGTTGATATCTATCAGAGTCGCCCTGGCCAGGGCGAAAGTACTAGTAAGTCTCACTTAAAATTGTAATCTGCTCGCTCAGGTCGTACGCGAGTACGTAGCGTGTCTGAGCCCAGACAACTGATAATCCGAGAATTCCGCATTTGAAATACCCTTGAGCATTGCAAGGAAGAGTGCTGTGTCTGGAGGATTTGTTATCGGCGCCACTCTCCGTCGATCTTCACACGCATGACGTCTAGTTTAGATTCTCGTCCTCAAGAGAGAATGACATGTACAGGTGTGAGTTCCGGAACGGCCTTGTAGCCTATTACTTACAGGGCACGGCCAGCACCTAGTACTTTGATACTAGTTAGCTGATTTGTCGACTCTCGGCAAACACCGAAGGTATGAATCTAAAGCTTCAAGCTTCAATATTTGTTGCAACTTCAAACCTGCCGCGAATAGATGCAAGTCCCGTATCTTTCGCACTATGTCGGTTCATTATGTCCATGTCGTGTGTATCTCATGAGCCTCCTGCCTCAAATCGGCCAATATTTTCTTTCTCTGGACTATCAGCATAACAGGCCGTAACCAGCAACGCTTTTGGTATCTTCACTGAACACAGCCGGTGACCAACCGGGCAAGCCTCAATGTGCTTGCAACCACAGTGAAATTGGACCTGCCAGGTCTCCCAGTCACCTACACCATCGCTAAATTCTATATCCTTACCCCAACTGTCTATTCGGTGTGTCAATCGAACTGTGATTCGTTGTTTACAAACCGTTTATTTGCAAAGTACAACGACCATTTCGTGCTTACTATCACTGACGGGGTTTTTCAAAATGGGTATTGGGTTTCAAAATTCGCTGATCATCATATCGTGAGCTGCGCACTGCACAAAAATATTCTGTGATTTTAGCCAGTGTTCTCTAGTGTCTATAGAACACAGCTGTGAAGATCCTATAGAAAACATCGAGCAGTTGTGTTCACAATAAATCATCCATTGAAATATGTCACACCACTGAATGTTGATGATTGTAATGCTACAATCTATATACTTTGTCAAACAGGACAAAAACTATGTGAAAACAATCTCTGTCCCTATACAAATGATACTTACCACTGCGATTTCTATATCGTGATTGAGTGAGGGCAGAACCATGTTATCAGTGAAGTTGTTGAAAGAGTGCATCCTGCACCGTGACTATAGTGCTGCATCAATTATAATCTCCGCTCCGAATCCATTGAACGTTCACTCGTTCAGATATCGAGATTCAAAATTTTGCCGAGTGTGCCGTTGCGGAGCTATAAAACTCCAGTGTGACATTGCTGTGACAAATTTTGAAACAGCATATTCAGTCCCTGCCAAACTGACATCGCACAACCGGATTCCTTCCGCCGCTCAAACTCATCGCAAAAAAATCAGATTTCACCTGGGTGTGATAGAGCACGATTTTTCCCACAGGTCTGTCTAGAAGCGAAAAAAAAAACCTCTTGACGAGTGTGCTACGTTTCAAACATTGAAAACCTTTGAAAAACCCCGCCAGTGATAGTATAATGACAACACATCCAACCATCAAAGTACTTTCTCTGAACATCCACCACATCTTCGCTTCATCATGTCTCATACGTGTATGTTCTACGACTCCTTCGACAAGTTATTTTACGATGCTCTCGACGCTCGTTTCCGTTTCTCCTCTACCACCGTCGAGGGCAATGCTAAATTCTTGGCTCATTGCTGTGATTGGGTGTGCCACACAGGTAAGTATATCAGAGATTTCGTGTGTTTAACATTTGATGACACTGACCTGCGCCAACGCAGGATGGACCTACACGTGAACGAAACTGAGACAGTGACCGCGACAGTTGAGCTTCCCGCTCTCGAACATCAAGATGTCAACGTCAAAGCCCATGGGAAACACCTGTCAATATTTTGGGGTTTTATACGCTCGGAGAACCATGATAAATGGTGCAGGAGCGTCCGTAAGGTAAATTCTCTAGGACACGCTGATTGCATCGTCCATGTTGAGAATGCTCACGCGAAGATGGAGAATGGAATGCTTACTCCATTGCGTGAAGATGTGATGCTATCTGCATGTTTCGACATATGACTACTTCGGATTTGTATCGTTGGTACCCACCCTGTGAAGGTGGAATAAGGATTCTGAAGCAACGGTGCGTCTGTACATTAGTGAACACTCCTCCTGATCTTTTTTGACACGAAGTACTTCAATTATGATGTGCAACTAGGCCCGTAGAAGCGGAGGCTACGTGACTTATCTGGGCTGGCGCCCGCAAGAACTCCTATTAGCTGGCCAGCTTGAATTGTGACCTCTTGGCTTTGCACCAGACTGGCTGGAAAGGTTCGAAGAGCGCAGCTCAGGTACTACGAGAAGAAATGACACTCGATCTTGAACTGCCTGCACAGATTTCGGGTCCTCAATCCCCATATTGAGTTAGCGACTTTCGTAACCTGCCCATGAAATTGCTGAGCATGAAGGTCCTATAAACACGCTTGTTGCGATCACATCACGCTTAGACCTGTGTTAAATCAATGGTTACATGATTTTCAGCTACTTTCACATCGACAGACCAGATTTCATTTTTTATCTTACCTCTTCTATATACTTATAGAGCTGGACAACAACAGGGTCCCGCTCATTACGATACTTTGGTCAGATGAAATACCCTCGAATGGCGGGGCGCTCTGTTCCTGGTGCTCAAGTTGTCCTGTGCGTAATACTCATTTACAAATCAAAATCTACTTTGATTCAGTCGAGGTCTTCCTCTTTTTGCTTGATTTTGCACCGCAATACTCCACCCAATCAATTACTCAAGGGTCTTGAGCTTGGGGCAAGGAGAAATATCTATTGCCATGCCGATTTCGGCGATACAGGCGCTGCAGCGCTGAACGGTAGTATATCTAGCACGAACGCTATCATTGTATACCCCCGACATCTGCCCCGCTCGCTCACACCCATCTCTCAAATATGACCGTAGTCTCGAATGACCCCAGTTGGTGGCCGATAATCAGTTCGAATATTTTTTTCACCTATTGCGCAGGTTCGTCGTTGCAATTCGTGATGTCTTGATCAAACATTGACTTGCAGTTTCGCAGTTGCCGCCGGCGTTGTGGTGGTATACGATTGGGGTGAGCAGGACAGTTGTTGGAAAGCCGCCCATATTCCTATAATATCTCTAGTATTAACACTCGGACAAGAGGTAGGTCAGTGCTCAATTGCCAGAGCAGCCAACTCGCTAAGAATAGTGTTATAGATAGAATTGATCTGGGTGAGCCACAAAGTCTCATATCATAAGAGAATGCAATGGATTTGTGACAGAGGCAACACTGGTCTCTCATGGCTATGCTATATCTGGTTGTTCGTACTACCTCATGTTATGCTATAGCGTGGTCGGCAGTTGTGCTAACTCCAAAATGTTCTAGATACGCTATATTGGACTACTTTATTCTGTGTATGTTCCGGAGGCCGACAGATCGGTGTTGTACTAATAGCCCATCTCTCATGATCAGTATCAGCGCTCTGCGTATGTCTCATATGCGCTGTGTTCGATTCTTCTGACTGGCGGCACACAGCAAATATGCCATTAGTCTCGCTGACAGATGCGGTGAGTATTCCGCAGCCCTCTCGTTCCCATAAATATGCTCATTTGTAGGCGTGAGTGAGATTCTGACCATTGAACTTGGCTCAACATAATGTCTCAATAGGTGTGAGTCAGTATTTGATCCTAGTACGAAGTGATCACTAACTGGGTGTTTCAGGCAATATTGTGGGCTACATGGTAAATTGGACAAATGTGGTCGTGGCTGCCATCTTGGGAGGTGAGCTACCCAACTGCAATACCTCAGTGATACTGATTCGACTGAAACATGATACAAGTCATCATGATTGCTCGGTTGCATGCTATGTATCAGAGATCTAGGATGATGCTTATTTTCCTTGTTATTATCTTCCTGGCCGTTAACATCACCTGTGTAATAATCGTGGCAATAGCACTCAAGCACACCACAGCGGGTAAGCTTTACTTGTCAACTTGAAGAACACACCTCATTGGACAAACACCAGAGGAGCTGATATTGTCTGGTACATATGTATGCGATTATGGATTTGAGGCGGATATTCAGCTTCTGTCCTCAATAGTTTGGATGCTCAACACTATTTGGGAGGTCCTCGCACTGTGTCTTTCAGTCTGGATTGCTGTGAAACAGTTCCGTGACCTGCGACAACTTGGCTCATCGACGGGATTGTCCATTGGGGACTGTTTCAGAGTGCTGATGGAGTCTCACACGCTTTATTTTGCATGGTGAGCTTGTCATGTAAACGAAGTTATCTCAATTCACTCAAGTCCCGCACGTGCTAGCTTTCTTTGGGTCCCTTGCTTCGAGTTTGCTGTTTGCTCTCCGAGGCTCGTGGTGCGCCGGCCTGTCGTTGACATCTGCTTATAACCAATGCTCGTGATTTCTGCAGAATTCAAATTCTACGGGACTCTATGGTGCTCTTCAAATTTTCTTGGTCGTGCAGATGTTTGTGCTGGGACCACGCCTCATCCTTAGCATTCGAGAATATCACGCTAAGCTCGTGGCCAACTCTGATGCAGAAACTAGTATGACTTCGATTGTCTTCCTGGAGCGTGTAGATGTACCAACTAGCAGTACTGTGTAGGAAAATGCTTGCTGAATGTTCTGCAGGGAGGAGAAATTTGGTTGAGAATCCGTTGTGGTATTTATTTAACAAATGGTGTTTCGAAGCATATTTAAAAGGTTTAAGCAAACCTATTTCTTGTTGTATGGCTACTGGAAACACCCACACTTGCATCAAGTGGCGAGCTGAGAAAATATTCGGAACGTCTAGCAACGAACCCGGTCCTTAATGCCGATACTAAAATACAACGAGAA